TAAAATAAAATAAGACAAGATAAGAAATGATTTATAGATGAAGAATAAAAGACCAAGTGTTGAGATGGGAGAGCATGAAAATGCGAGGGAGATGACGAAAGGGAAAGAGGATGTAATGGATTCGTTGGTGGAAGCAGGGCAAGAGAGACACGGAGACAGGCATACGGAGAGAGGGAGAGCAAAAGAAAGAGAGAAGGCAGAGGGAAAGACGGACAGATAGACAGAGACAATGAGACAGAGAGAGAAAGAGAGAGGGGAGAGAGAACCAGATAGATAAGATATGGATACCGTTTGAATTTCACCACCTGTAAGGGTCTTAGTTTGAAGTTTAATCATGTTAGAGTATTATATAAATAATTCATGTTTGTGACTGCATTAGTGAATATATACTGCACGCGGGTAAAGTCGCAAAAGTCAATTTTAGAGGAAGAAATTGAAACTTGTTGCACACCACATGTTCGCTTTTTATCTTAGTTCATCAAGGAGGTGGACCAATCGTAAAAGCTAGTTCCTCTTAAACTAGTCCAGCTGAGCAAATCACACTAATCAAGCTGGACAAATCAAAAACTAGTCCAGCAGGCTAACAGCTAGTCCAGCAGGTCCGACTAAGATTGGAATGCAACTTTAAGCTAGTCCAGCATTCGTGCCTAATCTGCCCGACTAGTTTAATGTTAGTCCAGCCTTCGCCTGACTAGTTAAAGTTTTCAGTGTATTTTTTTTTTTGGGGGGGAACATATTTTCTATGGTGCTCGTACGTAGTCAATACACAAGAGGAAAAAAAAAGGCTAGGATTACCAGTACATACTAATTTACAATATATACTGCACCACTTCCTCCCACCCCATGGCCCATTCCTAAATGAGGCATACATACAAGCATTTCTGATACTGATGAAAAAACACAATTAACCTAAAAATAAATGTATGCAATACAGGTTTAAAACAAAATCTTCTTACTTGTTGTATATTACATGTCATGGAGTGGGAAACTTGTTGGAATTTTAACATTCCAGTAATCAACATTATACAATAAAATCAATAACCACTGATACCAAGTCATATTATACCGCTGCTTGCCAAGCTAATTAATCCTAAACACTATCTAGAGACACTTCTGATGTACCTTCAGTTATCTGGAGCTTTGAAAATAAAACGCCAGACAATATGCTTTAAAAATATTTCATCCTTTATCTCTCGGACATTCGACATATGACTTATTACCCTCCCCTCTCCTTGGGCACATGTACAGGTAGGCGGGCACATTTACAGGGAGATGATGTTTTGACCCTGTTTTGACTACGTAAAACTCGTATAATCCAAAGAAAATCAATGAATAGAAGTTGCATTTATATTTTTGAAATTAATTTGTATCTCAGAAAACTTTATTTCATCTTTTATCTCTCGGATATTCGATATTATATAACACTTGTCTAGCTGTATGCCTTATTACACTTCCCTCTCCTTGGGCACATGTAGAGGTACTCAATTAAGCAGGCACATAAACACAACATTAAGAATCGCCAAATTCGTATAAATACGTTATCAAAATAAAAACTCACAAAATATACACTGTCGCTCATATAGTTGGAATATTTTTGTTTTAACCCAATTTATGGAATTATTTTGACAATGAATTATTCCTAATAGATCTAGATAATAGTATACATTCTCAGGTTTTATTGAATAATAATTACCCCGGTCCCCAACATAAAACATCTTCTGTACGGCCATGCATTATGGCTCAAGGCATGGGCACACAGAAGATTTTTGTTGTTGGGGACCAGGGGGAAAAAATATATGAGCGACAGTGTACTTAACACTCAAATACTACTACCGAATAACCACAGACAATACACCTGTACATTGGTCAAAGTTTGCCCCTGATTAACCGACTTTGCCCCAGCAGAAGATCGTGAACGGAAAAAGTGTTTATATCTTTAAAATCATTTGTAATAATATTGAAGTTGGTGATTCCCGAAGAAGAAACTTATCATTGGGTTAAATTTAAATTGTATTTGGACTGTAATTACTTCAGGAATGTGCTGCAAAAAGGCGCATTATCTTCATTATATATTATGGTGTTTTTCTCCAAACTGGGTTTTTCGTGCGCGCAGGCGTTCGCGTCCTTCTGCCGGACACACGACGATCTTGTCTCCCAAACATTTTATCAGATACCGGAGTGTTTAAAGGCACACTGTCCTACTTGTAGCTACTTGCTCCCTCTATATAGAAAACTTCCCCAATCGGTGCCTGTTGGTCCCCCATGATCCTCTTTTTCTTATGTTAAATGAGAGCTGAGTTAATGAGATAGCCACCTGTCACAGTGACCTCGCTGGCTCGCTGGGTGGCCTAATCCCTTCTGGCTGAAGTAGTAAAGCCTACCTTTAAATAAAATGACTTACCACTGTACACAGCGCCAAAAGGAGAATGAATGTCCATCCCATCTTGAATGTGACTGGGTTGCATATGGCTGGGAGTACCTCTCAATTGCCTCTGACTTAAGCAATGGTCCAAACAATTTCAAAGAATTCGTCTAATCAAAGAAAATCACTGTAAGAATTGTTTCCCTCATGAAGATACACTTTCATATGGGGAAATTAGTTGTTGTTTTCTATTCACTTAGTACTGCTGAGTTGTCCTAAGCGTCTGCGAAAGTTTAGACCGAAACAAATATTTTCAAAGCGAAATTGTAAACAGGATTGGCACATGCAGTATTGACACATGCATGTTTCAATAACGTGAATTTAAAATCAACCGTCCTTGCATTGATGCCCATGTAGCAATACCTCAACCAGAAGGAGGAGGAACAGCTCGATCGGGAGCTCGATCAACAAAGCAGCAAAAACCTGTCCACAAAATCATTAACAATCATGTTAAACGTGTTGCTATCCTGATTACAAGATTATGCCTATGCTACAGGTTATGTTTCCTAGTAACTGATACCACGTGATGCGAGATTTCAACCAATGACATTGCACGACAGAAAGTACCCGTCACCTAATGAGCCAGCGAATATTCACAGTACCCGAAAAGTCATCCATAATAGAGAAATTATAAATAGACATGTTCATTAATTTAATAGGTTTCACTGTGCTTTTAACCGCAACTCGTGATACGGTGTGCCATGGGTTGTCCTATACATAATTAATACTCTGGCGACAATTGCCCCGGGATTCATTTCTGAGAAGTGTCGTGGTCTGGTGGATACGTAACCGGAGTCTTGATCACACGGTTTGCGGTTCGAGTCCTTCTGCGGCACTAATGTCCTTTGGCAAGACATTAATCTAAATTTCTAACACTTAGGTGTTAAATGGGGGGGGGGGGTTAAATGGGTACCGATAGCCAAGAATTCCTTGAATGATGTGAGCATCGAAATTGGTAGCATATTAAAGGAGGGCATCGCCTCGAGCACCTTGTGTGGTGAATCATTTGTGCTATAAATATATAAAATATTATCATTATTATATTATTCTTCGTGAGAAGGTGAAATAATTAAGTAAACGTTTACTATCAAAAAAGGTGTTCATGTTTGACACTACAACAGGTATAAACGTAATTTGTATAAACATATTATACTAAAAGAAAATAGGAATACATATAATATTATATTATAATAATCTCCATGCTGCCTTAATATGGGGTGACGGTTGCCCGAATCAAGGGCGGATCCAGCCGTCGGCGAGGGAGAGGGCCCCAAGAGGGATTCCAATTCGTTAGAAAATATTTAGCGGCGACTCTGCCAACCGGACGTATAAGTTGGGGGGGGGGGGGGTAGTGAGCATTTTTTTAATTATCATTATTTAACTTAAAATCGCGGGGGGGGTATAGGGCTCTATCTTTTTTTTGGCCAGGGGACCGTTTTCTTTTCTTTCTTTTTAAAGGTAAAATTAACGTTGCCATCTTTTTGTAACCTATTTGGGGGGCCAGGGGAGGGGGCCCTGGCCCCACCTTCCCCTCTGGATCCGTCCCTGGCCCGAATACTATACAGTAGTATTAATAATTTTCCATTTGCTGGGGCTCTCTCCCCCTTTCCTCTAATTACCCGTCGAACGCCTGAGGACACAAATATCAAAGTTCTTAACGCATGCCCCCCCCCCCGTTTGATTAAATATTGAAACAGCACTATTCCTGAAAAAGTCCTTATTGTGGCTGAGTAAAATGAAGGCTCGTTGTAGAATGGACTCATATACGAAAATTGGCGGTTCATTATCATGATTGTTGGAGTACAAAAAAGACCTTTCTCTAGAAACATTAATAATGAATTGGCCATGAGAACAGGGATTGAATTAATCCCTTAGCGGTGATAAAAGATAGATGAATTAGGCCCTACATCGCTTCCAATGTCCACTTATTGGATAGCTCACTAATTTAATTATTTACGTTTCCATCACAACCTATTTATATTCTTAATTCGTTATTGGATTTCGAAAACTTAAAAATTAAAATCTTCTGAATCATGTCTTGACTTATGATGACTTGTGTGATACTGATGCTGAATAATGAATCTACCAGGAATCGAACCCTGGTTCTCGGCTTGTAACGCGAACTGCCTTATAATCACGAGACTATATGCACGGAGACGAGCCAGTACAGTTTCCGTGACATCAGATTGAAGTGGCCTACTTAGCTAGTTTAACAAATATTCGACCTTTACTAATTCTTTGTTGTCGAGGGCAGGCAGATAACATATATGGGGCAAAGTTTATGTGTATGTTCAGACGAGAGCGTGTGCTGCCCAAAATGTATAAATAATGGTATAAGGTCCATGTGATAACAACCAATAATTTTAATGGGTTTAGCTTTCGACGGCTTGGCCTAATTATTCGAAATTCATTGCTAATTAAACAATATTGACGGTAATAAGACATCAATAAACTAAATTTACAAATTTTGAGGCAACACTGAAAGCAGCAATATATTTAACAAATAAAACAAGTCATGTGAATCACAGAGAATAACTTTTTTAAAACCATATTTCGAATAATAATCATGGGGCCTAACATAAATAATTATTAGGAGTTTACAATGGAGATAAGAAGCTATCATTTCGCTTTAAAATTCCGCACATATCAATGGCAATTCTAGCCTCGTGATGAATATTAATTATGAGGACCATAAATAATTCCTCAATCAGTTGCGCTTTCAAACCCTCGGTGACACTGACCTCTGTCTCTATTGACGTTTCGGCTAGATCGACACTTGACCCCGATTAGCATTTGGCAGCTCCGTCTCCGCCAGCGCTTTAGCTATGCAGAGCAAGTTCACGATTCAGACAAGTATAGGCATATACTTATCATAACGAGAAAAATACAGATTTAAAAGTTCATTTTCAATTTGGAGAAAACATGGCTTCGTCGGAAACATCTTCATTGAAATCGTTTTGTATAGTTACAGGGGCAAGCAGAGGCATTGGTCGTGCCATTGCTATCGCCTTGTCTAGCAAATTTTCTGCGGAATCTCATATAGTTTTGACAGGACGGTCGGTCGATGCATTGAACGAGACACAGCGGATGGTACAGGCCGCTGCTCCAGGCGTCCAATGCAAGGTTGTCATCGCTGATCACTCGGACGAGGGTAATATTTCCAGCACTCTTTCCGAGATCACAAAGGACGTCAGTCCGGATGAGTTTCAGCGTTTTCTTCTCATCCACAACGCCGCTAGCATGTGGGATGTGTCACGGTATGCTGGGCAGTCGACTACGTCTGATCTGAGAAGCTTGCAAGACTTCTGTATGCTGAATATCACTTCAGCGCTACTTCTAACCTCTCATTACCTGAAGACATTTCCTCAGAGGAATGGAGCGTCCAGAACGATCGTTAATATATCATCACTCGCTGCTTTGGTGCCTTTCCCTGGTTGGTAAGTTTTTCTCTTTTATTAATATCTTTGTTCAAACATCTCTTTATCAATAAAATAACTGGGCCGCCTTGGCTCATTTTCTAAAGCTCACATTGAACATTGATACAAAGACCTATTATGTTTCCAGCATTGATTTCTCGAAAGCCACTGCGATCATGTTTTCATTTTTACAAGGTAGAATTTTGAAAGCAAACGATAATGAAATATGCAGTCGATGTAAGTCTTATTCACCATGTGAGGCTCCTTCAAAGTTTTTCTCTTTTATTAATATCTTTATGTTAACCGTTTGTACAAACATCAATTATCTTTATCAATAAAACAACTGGGCCGCCTTGGCTTTGTTCCAAAGCACACATTGAACATTCATTCAAAGACCTATTATCATGGTTTCCAGCAATGATTTCTCGAAAGCCACTGCGATCATGTTTTCGTTTTTACAAGGTAGAATTATGGAAGAAAAAGGATAATGAAATATGCAGTCGATGTAGGCCTAGTTCTTACTCACCATGTGGAGCTCCTTTGGTATAGCTTAAGCTTCGATCTCATGTCTTTGCCAGGATATCCATGACATAAAAAAAAAACATGAGCTTAAAGGTACTATGTCCCATTTGCAGGCCTACAAAATGAAAAGGTTAAATTCCAACGGCATTTGAAAGATAATACTAATTTAGAACTTCCCTGAAAAAGGGGGCTTGAAAATGTCTTTAATAACGACTTTCAGTTGTCAAATCGACTTAAAAGCTACAGAGCATGTAAGTAATAGTCTGATTTTCAGACCATTGTACCGAATGGTCGCACGTTTTATGCTGCGCAAGGATTCAATCAGTTAAATTTTGGCCATCACAAGAAGTGGGTTATTGATGTAGACAAATGCTTATGTACCCTTTACAGCTCAGTTTATGTATGTTATTACCAAAGAAGAAAAAGCCAGTCACTCACCCAATAGTGTCTGACAGTGAAGTCTAGCAAGTAAACGGGTTTTCTTGCATAATTTGAAAATGAGGACACTGCTAACGTTTGAATTTCACAGATAGGGCATACATGACATATTCATAATTCCTGCAAAGTTCTACAACGGACATAGTATCTTTAAATTATATATATTTAAACTATAATGTTGTATATGGATATCGTTTCGATTCATACCTTTCATCAATACTTCTATGTAAATCATTAAAGGCATTATTGTACATGATTGTAGCCTTATATGAATTAGTGTGTGTGTGTGTGTGTGCATGTGTCAGTATGTTTGTTCGTTCTTGCGCGTTATAAGTCAGAATACACAAATATATATTTGTCTGCACCATCTCTTTGTTTTGATTTACAGATTTTGTTGATAGTATTCTCGTCATTACACGCATTACACACCCACACACACACACACACACACACTGCCAACTAGGGATATTTGTCTTTAACTATCTTCAACTATGAAATTGGGGATTTGTAATTTGAGGTGTTTTCATAAAATTCTTTTTCTTTGACAAAATGTAATTCCATTCATTTATCTGGCGGCCAGATAATTGAATAATGTTACATTTTGTCAAAGAATAACAAGAATTTAGCCTCCTGTTTTTACGCAAGAGCTTACTAGGCGCTGTTCATTTATCAGACTTGTAAAATCTCAGATGATACACAAAGTAGCGCTCGAAAATGTGGCGTCTTACTATGAAAATGTGGTTGTCTTGGAACTCTTGCAGGAATTAGGTAGTAGACTCCTCTCGGGTCACTTTTTCCAAAATTAGCCAAAAATAAGAAAGTTATCAACTGGGGATATCCACAGTTGCTAGTGTATCCCCACTTGGAAGTTATGTATACATATAATTATCCCCGTTTCACACGTCTTACAAGCCCCCCCCCCCCCCCCCCCCCCCCCCCCACACACACACAGACACAGACACAACACACAAGAGATGTTGCACCTTTCAAGCTTCAACTTTCAATCAAAACATTTAGAATGTACGTTTTTTTTTTTTTTTTAGTGATTTGATAGTAATTGATGACGATGATGATGATTCACAGGATTGATATTTCGCAATGTTCTCTTTAAAATTAAAGACGCATGCATCTTACTGAATTCTTATTGAGTATGATGAAGGGTTCATAATTATGTCTAATTACATGTACCTTGCTTTTGCAGCTCCGTATACTGCATGGGAAAGGCTGCCAGACATATGCTCTTTAGGACCATAGCCCTAGAGGAACCCGATGTCCGGGTCTTGAACTATGACCCAGGTGCGGTGGATACGGCGATGTTTAGAGACAATGCCACCAACAATGCCAGTGTGGATGTCAGGCAGATGTTGGAGCGTCTTGAAAACGATCAGCAATTGCTCAAACCGGATCAAACCGCCGCAATGCTGCTTAGCATCTTGGAGAAAGATGCGTTTGAGTCTGGCGCTCATCTCAGTTATAGCGATGATTTGGCGAAGACAGTCGATGATTTTGATAAGAAATAAGTAATTTGAACTCTGAGTATTACATTTCAAAGGGCTTTAATTTCAGAACACCGGCATACCTAAGTATATTACTGGGAAAATAGTAAATCTATTCTAACTTGTTAAATGATAATATTTGACGATTGTTTTACCCATTTGCTAAGAAAGTACATTAAATGCTTGTAAGTAAACTACCAGGGGACCGACAGCTTTAAGTCCTCTCCAAGGGACTTGATAATGAGGATTGACTTGTAGATCCAGTGGACACATCCATTTTGGAATGTTTGATTTATACAATTATGATGTCAGTAGGAAACATGTTCTGGACTGTTTCGTATACTGTATAATCGTGGGCCTCCATCCAGTCTTAAAACTGCGTGGTCAAAAATGACCACGTCGTGGTCGTTTTTAAAAGGTGCATGGTTGACTACCAAAACGTGGTTAAAAACGACCACGACGTGGTCATTTTGACCACGTTTTGGTAGTTGACCATGCTCCTTTAAAAACGACCACGACGTGGTCATTTTTTTATCACGTATGTTTAAGAGTGTTTTTTGCAGTAATGGTAAAGATGTTACTGGCCCCTCGTGACTTAGGTGCGGACGATGATGATTATGTTGACGATGTGTATGATGATGACGATGGTGATGATAATAGCATGAACACTATATGATAACGATGATAGTGATAATGGTGATGTCGACGATGACCATGACGATGGTGGTGATGATGAGGAAGATGACGATGACAATGATGACGATGATGGTGATAATGACAATGATATTTATAAAAAAAAAAAATACAGAAGAGAATGGTGATGTTATGATAATGGTGATAGTGATAATGATGTGTATGCTGGTGATGATAGTGATGATGATGAGGATGATAATGGTGGTGATGGTGTTGGTGATGATATAGTAGTGGTATATGACCTAGGGATGTTGAGCTGAATGCGGTTTTATTTACAGACTCTGAAATAACACGTCCGTAATATTCATGTATGTAATTATGAATGAAATAGAAAAATTCCTCAATCTCAACTGACAAAGAAATACCAGGTGGATGAGTTAGATCTCAATTATAAAAACAATAAAATACACAATTGTAATCAATTATTTCCCGTATCATATTCAATCAATCATAATGTTTTCATGTATCTTTGAATGGATTTTTGTTCATATTTGTAATTATATGTTTCGTATAAAAAAATATGTACCATGTGAATGAAGTTTTCGAATAAAAAACAAATGCAAGGATTGTAATGGACTTGATTAAAATCATATCTTATTAAATTTATCAGTTATTGTCGATTTTGTTTTCTTATACTTGCTTGATTCGGTCTATTGTAAAATGTAAAACTGAAAGATAGATATCCGGTCATGTGGTGTCACTTTATATAATGATTTTAAAAATTGTTGTTTTTAAAGGGAGATGTGCATTAAGTCATAACTCGCGAACACCAAACTTGGTAGAGCCATTAATGGGTACAAGTCTCGCACACATTAAACCCGTGGTCCCTTCAAGCAATACACGTACACACTTTAGTTTTATAAGGCCTGTTCGTCATAAAATTGAAGGCGACTCCGAGTGATTGACACATGGGTGGCGGAGCGTTTTTCAAAGTGAGGGGGGGGGTGCAACAACAAAAAAGGCACTGTCTGGAAGAAGAAAAAAAGGCTCGGGAAACCTCAAAGCGAAAGATATACATTGGTAGGCCCTTATAATACCCCTACATTCTGATCAGATTATCAGGGATGATTTCATTATTTTCTCTTTTTACATGGATTTAAAGATACTGGTTAGAAAAGAGGCACTTAAAACTGTCAAAATAAAACGGACGTCACCTCTCGGATTTGAAAAGAGGCACTCACCTGAGATGAAAGGGGCACTTTTACAAAGGAAAATCGGGGCACTTGTAGAAAGAAAAGAGGCACCTATGACATTTTAATGGAGGCATTTATCAGACGTGGCTCTTATTAAAAGAAGAAAAAGGGCATTTATCAGGAGGGAAAAGGGCACTTATTAAAAAGACAAGGAAGCACGTGACAGAAAAAAGGGCCCATTTGAGAGGTCGGAGAAGGGGCATCATCAAAGATGAAAAGGGGCAATTATCAGAAGTAAAGAGGGGGCACTTTTCGTATGTATAAAATGGCCGGGGAACTTGAAAGAGTGGGGGCACTGTGCCTGCACCACCCCCCCCCCCCCCCCCCGGCTTGTATGCTCGGCCTACTGAACTGCCCTCGAATACCCCTCGAATGAACCCTGGCTTGGATCGACACACGTACACGCCCACCATTGAATAATACGCCCACCTCGGTATAATAAACCCAGTTAGTTGCAGTCGAGTAATGTCAGCTGATTGCTGTGGTCGTGGTCACATGTGATGTAGCTCGTAGCTAGCTGTAGGGGAGGTATATCGTATAGCGCGAGAGCTAGGAGTAGGAGCTAGCAGCGGAGGTGTTCGTTCTTGATAGTGCAATCCGAGTGCACAACGAATTCAAAATTAGGGCTCAGGAGTCGGGTTGAAATACTTGAATATATATCGACTAGCTACTACTGCATGCTATCCAACAGTACCTGAGTCGAGTAGCAGTTTCTGTAAAAGGGGAAGCTTCCACAGTGCCATTTAGTGGCGGTAAACGTTTTTAAAATGGAAAAGAAATTTGGAATTCTCTTCACCGTATCACTTTGGTGCCTGGCGGCCGTCTGCTCGGCGTCAGGTTCAAGTTATTTGGTGGACGATAGTGGCGGACTTGGACCACGATTTGATGGCATCGGTGGATTGAGTGGAGGAGGGGTAAGTTCTCAAATTAAATCAATACATTCGAAAAAATAAAGTTAAAGAGAAGGTTGAGTTGTTGGGAGAGGTGAAAAATAATTTGTGAGCATTTTCATTGTGATCATGCAAGTGTGGAAGAACATCAGATAAAAAATGTTCCCAGAACATGGCTCTTCAAATGCCTCTAGAGACCTTTATTATATTCTAAATAGGACATGTAACAGCTTAAAAAATAGGACCACATTTCTATGCCACATGTATGTGTAGTCCCATATACATCTTTCTGTGTACAGACAATGCTTGTTTAATACTTTTTTCTACCAAGACTGAGCCAAATTTCCTATCATTTTGATGATTAATTCCAGAACCTTGCAGTACACACCAATACTTACTAATACATGTATAATTATGCTACATGATCAACTTTCATTTTCTGATCGATTCCACACTGTTTCTTACAAAATACAATCGCCAGAATGACCAGAATTCAACTTTATCTTGCATGATGACGGCCAACTATATAAGCCAGTTCCGGAACAACTGGAAGCCCTGCGACATGCACTCCCATTTGGCATCTAGACTAGCTTAATTAGCCCGAATTTTCTGTCTCTTTCGTTCGTTAAGCCTCTTATTTGAGTAGGGTCGGCTTTTCTCTTTACTCTTTATAGATAGACAGAAGCGGACCATAGGGTCTGCTGTGCAAACTTTAATTTTAGCGGATGCATATCCGACGCATTTATACTTTCTTTTTTCCAATATTATACTTACCGGTAGTTTAATACATCGGTGCCACTTACCAGCTTGACAGTATAATGCGTTTGATGGTCCTTTTTCAAGAAATTATAGGTCAAATACAACTCTGTGTAGAAAAAAATCTTGCAGCCGTATTCTAACTGTCACTGCTCACGAATGACGTCATCTTTCAACGTCTTTCATGCAGTGACATTTGTTTCCCCATTGGTTTTTACCTTGTCATATCCTTCCTAACGATCATTTTCAATTGTTTTTCTTGTTCTCATACCAGGCCACCTCAAGACTTCTTGTCAGCTATCCGGACCCAGAGAGGAGTCAGATCTTGGATTATCTTTTTTCGGTGAGTTGATGATAAACAAAAAGTGTGGAACGTGACATATATGCAATAACTGCCAATGAGCATAGTGTACTTTAGTGTGCTTACATCTGCAGACGCATTTATTCGTACATGTACATTAACACAGTGTAAATTTATTTTGTGTTTACTGGAGCTTTCCTGAGCTCAATCCCTCCCCCCCCCCCCCCCCCCCCCCTCCGGGGTCGGATGGACCGCATTCGTGTTCCCAAAATCTCTGGGAAGGGGGTACTTTTCATGCAACAAAGTCTGGCCCGTAATACACAAAAATCCATCCTGTATTGACTTTACACATCAGAGATAGGGTGCTTTTAAAGGGAGTGAACATGCATACATGCGTACCATGAATAACACTGTGTGCGTGTGGGGGGGGGGGGGGGGCTCAATCACTGAACTCGTGTGTAGATCTATTTGTGGTTTCCTGGCTTCGTTCATCTTCCACATTACTGTTAACACCTGGACCCCGCACTAACACCCGGTATGGTGACCGCGCCTTTTCAGTTATTGCCCCCGCTCTCTGGAACAAACTGCCCGCCTTTATTCACTGCGCCCCCTCTGTATCTCAATTCAAATCTCTACTCAAAACCTATCTTTTCAAATTGTAAATTGCAGTTGTGCGTCGGTCAATGGAGGTGCGCACCATATTTGTCTTTATTTAGTTGATTGCCACTGTTTTTCTTACCTTATCTATGTTACTTTTGTATTTTTGCTTTTTCTTCTAATTTAATTCTACGGGTTATAGTCTTCTTTTAATCAGAACACTGTGCGCTTAGAAACATCAGTATTAAGCGCCTAATAAATGTTATGTATTATTATTATTATTAAAGCAATCGACATTTTAAAAAAGCTGATAATACTTGGCCAATTAGAATAATATCTCATTCCTCTTTATAAAATAAGGTCTGTAAACTAATTAAAAGAACTTGTCTGGTACAGTAAGATAATGAAGATTATGATACTATTTTATCATTTGTTCTTGCCATCATTATGACCATAATACTGCAAAATTCACACAAGACGAAACTAGTCTGACATGATTGTTGACTTGAGCTGCACTGCTATATCTTACTACATCTTCAAAATGGCTGCCAAGATGGCTGACATGCAGTCCATAAAACAATAACAACCAATCACTGTATCCCATTGAAGCTTAAGTAAAATTGATAATCTCGATCTTGACCTACCTTGACCTAAGCCTTCCGCACCATCTGGGAGATGTGTGATGGCTTCTGCTTCATGACGTCAAGCCAAATGTTCCTATCTTGTGACGTTCTGGTCGCTTCTGTGAGGGATCCCAGACATCTAGTAGCACAATCGGCCTTTACACAATCTATCCATTTCTTGGCTGGTCTGCCCCAGGGTCTATCACCATGGATATTAGAAGTTAGGAGTATCTTTGGGTATCGTGATGGTCTCATCCTGTTAACGTGGCCAAAGAATCGTAGCCGTTTTCGATCTTGCTGGTAAACAAAAGTCAGATCATGATTAATTACAATCCATGCATTCATGTATCATTTTTTTCCGTCTCTACATGGTTATAATATCAGCCCAACTTTGGTGCAGCCTTGCACATATTGAAGGTTGAGATCGGAGGAGATGCTCAGAGCACAGAGGGAACAGAGCCCTCTCACATGCACTCTCCTGACGATGAGAACTATCAAAGAGGATATGAATGGTGGCTCATGAAGGAGGCAAAGAAGGTAACCTTCCCCCTTTTCCCCCTTTTTTGTAATTCCTTTTGTAGTAACAGACTTGTTAATTTAATTACTCATTATTCCTAAGTATCATTTGAGGTGTTCACACTTGTACAAGCATTGCTTTTTAGTGGACCTCTCTATTTCCAACATGTATTTCTATATTTGTTTTAAATGCTTATAGTTGATTTAATGTTTTGTTGGAAACATGAATAAATTGAAAATAAAATTGAAACAGAACCATATGGAAGAGATGATAAATATGCCTGTGTAAAGCCGAGAGGTCCTAAACTCATATACTCTATTAAACAGAGAGAATTGCATTGCATTCTTCACACAAAAGAAAAATATAGAAAAACAAGACATGATTTAAAAGTAAATGCAGGTAATGACTTTATTAAAGAGATGATTGGTACTGCAAAATCAAAGAATAGCAACAAAAACAGACACTATACTTAAGCCTGTCGTCTTGTAGTCATTTATGGAAAAATCAACAGAAAGTCAAACTACTTTATTACAAGATCGGCTCATATATACATGAGGAACTGTAAGTATTGGATAAGAAAATCGCATTTGGAGGAAGGTGCATGTTATGTATATAGTTTTCCCACTGTGTTCACTCCAGGTGAGTTGTCAACAAAACTTTGTACTGGGTTTGTGTACATAATAATGCAAAAGCCAGTGTTTCTTTACTATGTTCACTGCTGTCTACACATGAAAAATTCAGTTATTGAGTTTATGTACATATTGATGCACAAACCTCTCTTTCTTTACTATGTTCACTGCTGTATAGTGTCTACACATGAAAAATGCAGTTACTTTTTAATTGGGATAAGGATTTTTGTCTTGAGCAGCTGGGTAATTTTCTTCCACAAGAGACTATTGCTGCATCTGTGCATTCTGTGGGAATTAAAGTAACGATGTTGAATGACACCTGACTTTACCAGCCTTCACCAGCCTTCTCTCCAATTTCTTCTCTTTTGCCTTAATAGCGGAATCCAAACATCAAGCTATACGCCCTGCCATGGGGCTGGCCAGGGTGGGTAGGTAACTACACCAACAGCCCTTACACCGACATCAAACAGACCATCGGGTATGTCATGAAATGGCTGCAAGGAGCAAGGACAGTGCATGGATTAACCATGGATTACCTAGGCGTAAGTATATTGACTGATGAGTTGATCAATTAATTAATAATAATAGTCACACTCGCATTGTGCACTATAATACATTATATTTATAAAGCGCTTAATACTAATGTTTCTAAGAGCAAGAAAAGAAGAAAAAAAAAGAAAAAGGAAGGAAAAGTGAGAGATACGAAAGAATTTTTTTGTTGAAAATATAGCATGCGCTATGTTTCAATGCGCTTTGTTTGATGTACTTGATTGTTCACAGTTTGAATAATTGATAGATTGACCAATCAATATGAAATTGATTATTGATTTTTGATTGGTGATTGATTGGTTGATTAATTTATTGATCAATTGATTGATGAGTCAATAGAAAATTTTATATTAATTGATAAATTGATTGTCTAATAGATAGGATGTCTTTTACCTTAAAAGTAAACGCCAGGAGAGTAAGTTTTAAACTGTAAGTGATATAGGTAGTAACTGTATTACAGTGTAACCTTATAAAAAGCTTGTTGTGGAATCTAGTATGCCTTGGATACTATTGTGACATTTTATGTTACATAGCTCATAGATATACATTATATTGAATGGGTATGATATACATGTACATGTACACATGTATCACCTTTTCTAATGTTTGCAGTCAGTCTCTTATTGTCTCTAGTGGTATACACTACTCATGTAGAGTTACATATATAATAATATTCCCCTTACAGAGATGCCAACCAGTACGATTAAATCCTATTAACTACGATATTAAGAGTGAAATACGATAATACGATATCACCTCTTAAAATACGATTTAAAAAATTATAAAAAAAAAAAAATTAAAAATTAAAAAAAATGTACAAGTAAACACCCGAAACCCCCCAAAAAAATTTGCTATACAATTTTCTCTGGCCTGGCCATTTTACTGGCCTGGGGCCGACTGGCCAATGGTAGTGTCAAGTTTTCGTGAAAATCTTGATTTTTCTCTCCAAAATCTAATTTTTTTAGGATACTCAGTCTGTTTTTTTATGTCAAGAGGTTGGCAATTCTGCGCTTATATAACGCTTCATACTGTGTCTCTAAGCGCTTTTGCTCTTCACCCTCCCCCTCTTTATCATCGCTACTTCTTCAGATTTTTGGCATCAAACATCATTCGTTCCAGCTTGCACAATAGTATCTCTTGACCGTCTGCGTCAAACTTTCTTTGCCTTTTTGATCTATCTAGATCTGGAATGAGAAAAGCTACACCAAAGATTACATCAAACTCTTGAGAAAAACACTGGATTCCAGCGGCTTTCAGAATGTGCAGCTGGTGGCATCTGATGGAAAGTTTGAAATCAGCTATGATATCTTAACAGATCCCGAGTTAGCTGCTGCTGTCAGCATCCTAGGGTAAAAAAGTCTTCTGATCTGCATTGTTGGTGGTTGGTAGTTTAACTCTCCCATTTTTTCTTCTAGGGTGCATGTGATTCACGCCATGACCTGACCTGCATGTTGCTAACCACATTCTAATTAACTCCGCTGCAACACTTTACTTCTTCTTCATCACTTTTCCCTTTTCTTCTTGTTTTATATATTTTCATTTCATCTTCGTGCTCTCCTAATTTTAGTGTGCCTCTTGTCCTTCTCTTTTTATTTGTTGTTTTTGTATTATTTTTTATAACTTGATCATCTCTCTCATATTGCTCACACTCAGCTTTATCTTACCTCTTAGTTTGCTGCATTCTCCTGATATACTAATGTGCTTCAAAAACGTTTTTTCATCCATTATCGGAAACTACAAATTTGTTTCTCTTAACTTCACCAGCCTTTCCTCATTTTCTCTTTCCTTTTTTTAATATTTATGTTTGAATGCACCCTATCACTACCCTGCTTCTACACCCTTCAACCCTCCTCTCTGAAGATATGGAATGAAAGAGCTTACAACAAAGACTATATAAAGCAGTTACGCCAAACGCTAGACTCCAGCGGCATGATGGGAACTCAAATAGTCGCTGCCGATGGGGGCTCGACCATCAGTAAAGATATCCTTGATGATAAGGATCTTGCCAAAGCTGTTGAAATCTTGGGGTAACTAGTAAAATTGACCGAGTTAAACTGTAAAGTCTCTTGGTTAGTATTTATAATTTGTGTGCAAAGTTTAATAGATAATTATACTTTTTAGAGCCAAATTATATATTTCAAATATGAGGGCATTTGAAAAAATTGAAGAACGTCCTGATCAGGAGATATCTGTACTTCTGTATAAGCCGATATTTTCATGTACAGATAATTTCGTGAATGACAGGCTAAGAGCCATTTTTGCGAGTTACTGCTTTTGCAAATAGCACACACTAGAATTAATCAAAATTTTTCACGCCAACACATACACACACAGACTTAGTACACGTAAGTACAAACACAAGTTTGAGCAGCCCATCGCACCACAAACAGCCGAGTACCAATCCGGCAAAGAGCGAGAAGGCTGATCGGTTTTAAGTCGGGGGTGCGAGCATAATGCATGGTGATTAAAATACTAAGTACGTATTCCAATTGTTGACAAGGGTTACAAAACAGTAAGAGACTTTTGAAAAATGATAACTTCTCCACTTGCTGTCGCAGAAAGTGGAATCCCCGACTGAGTGTTGCAAGCGGTGCAAATGCAATCGTTTCTTCAGTACACGATAAGCTGTGTATAGCATGCTTAGTGAGTGTAGGCATGTACATGAACAAAGTAGTGGCAGAGGCCAGACAAATGGTGATGGGGGTCAAAAGGGTGCTGGCACATAAATTTATGCTGATATTTTCACGCTCCGGAATGGTCAGATGAAGTGGCAATATTTTCGCTATTGATAAATTCACGATAATATAAAGTTCATGAAAATCGTGAAAATAACAGCTTATACAGTACCATATTCTTCTAAACTGATGCTTAAAGATTATCTGTTATCTTTACCAGGACCCAACCTTCTGTTTAAACAATCTTTTCCTGTTGCAGATTTCATTATCCTGGTACGTACGTGACTAAATATACCACAGAGACGAGAAAAACGTTATGGTCCAGTGAAGACTACAGTACAAAAAATGATAATGTAGGAGCGGGATGCTGGGCACGGGTAAGTTTTACTTTTATTGATTTCTCATTTGACTTCACATTTGACTTGACAATCTATCCTTTGTATCAGTTTTGTAAGTTTCCATTTTGTGTAAAATTCTCTGGTTTTAACATCTTCTTTTGCTTTCCCTGTCTTTTTTTTCCTTCTTCTTTTTCATATTGTTGAAACATCATTTGCATATATATTTTATAAACAAATTTATTTTTCACTTTTTTTCATTTGTACTTCATTTTTCGATATTTTCTCAATTTTCCACTCACCTAGCTTTTACAGTAAAACATTTATTTAAAGACCAATTAAGAAATGGCTTAATATACAAGTTGTCTATTTGTACAGGGTGTTTTAATCCATGATTCACTGAGAAGGGTTGTTCAAGGAAAACAAAGATTGTGGTCTCTCTAAACATGTGATCACTGTCTGTCTATGCAGGTCGTCACTAAAGCAAGTTCGACTTTAAAAATACAAGTAACAATCATTATTGTTTGCGAATGATATATCTTGCTCCTCTCCACAGATATTGAACCAAAACTATGTGAATGGCAATATGACTAGTACGATATCGTGGAACCTAATCGCTAGCTACTATGGGTCTATGCCCTTCGGCCGCTGTGGGCTAATGACGGCCGAAGAGCCTTGGTCAGGCAACTACGCAGTGGAAGGCCCTATCTGGGTGACTGGTATGTACATGTATAGGATCACCGTGTTGCTAAATTTAGATTTATTGCTTTGATAGCATTATTCCATTTGGCATCAATAGACAATGAAAAGATCTTGTTTGTATAATGTTTTTATTAGATATACAGTGTGTATTATCATTTTTTGTTTTGTTTATTAGGATCAATTTATTATGCTTTTTTTTAAATAATGCTTTTATTTTGTGCAGGTACATGTATATCCTGTATTAATTCCTTTTTTTAATAAATGTGGTATAGAAATAAGTGCATCGCCAAGATGAAAGACAAAATTCTTCGTTCATTATTTATTTTGTGAACCTTTTTATAGCACACACCACCCAGTTCACCTTGCCTGGCTGGAAGTATTACTTACGAGGGTCAGGAGCAGGTCACTTAGACCTGGGAGGAAGCTATGTCAGTCTTACTGATGGCAAGAACTTCACCATCGTCATAGAAACCATGGTAAGTTTCATCACACCCTGGGATTGCATCAGAAGGAGGCTCGCTGGTATCTTGTCCAGACTTTTTTTTTAAAGGAGGCAGGTCATTAATATTTACTATTTTGCAATATTTGCTATTTTTTCCAAGATGGCTGCCATGCTAATTATAGCTGGCCAAGCCTAATCCTAGATATTGTGCTATGTGAGTATACTGATGCAAAGTATGACATAACAAATGATTTGTATCACTATAGAAGCTATTTAAACAAAATGTATATCACAGGCTTTTTTCCTTTTTTTTCCTGAATAGTAAATTTTTTTTTTTTAAAGAAGGCGGCAGCCAAAAAGGAGGCGGTAGGGACGAGAAACACTTTATTTTTGTCATTTGGCCAAATAATTATATTCTTTACTCTTTATTTTGTATTTCTTGTGACAGACACACAATCATTCACAATGCATCCGTCCATCCTTGCCACCATACACTGTAAGGGCACAGACTGCTACCTTCGACCTGAAAGGCATGTTCGTAAGTACAATATGGTCGGTTGAAATACACTGTTGGTTTTTTATTACGCAAACATTTAAGCATGGCGTTGTGATCTTCTTTTCTGTTTTTATCGCCATATATATTATCTTTATCTTGAACGATGATATTCATTCTAGCACTCTGTTTCACTCTCTCTTTGGTGCAATGTTAGCTCTTTTAACAAGCCAAGATATTTCTCAATGTAAAAACTGCACTTTAAAATGACATTTTACTGTCTGTAAAATAGTAAATCAGGCAAATTTTTTTCAATTGTCATTCCTACCTGTTCATATCAACTGTTATTACTAGCTGTAATTCGAACACTGCAGTATATTTGGGGCTATTGTACAGATTTTGGTAGATATGTATAGGACAAGTAACACTAACTTTTATATATATGGATCAGAGGCTTAAGTTTTCACGATATGATTGTTATAGTCAAGATTTATTATGTATGGATGTGTGTCAGGTATTATCGGGACTAATGAATTTTGAAAATAAGCTGTATGACTCGTCCAAAATGACCATGATCAGATTGTAACAATCAGTACCGGTACTTTTTACTTTCTTCAGAACTCTATCAAGTCTCTCAATGTGTTCTACTCTAAGCCTGGCTATGGTGGGAATTCTTCGGTTTATTTTATGAACAAAAGCCCTGTTCAAGTAAGTTCCAGTCCTCTCAAGTCATACGTAGACTGACTAGATTTATTCACAAAAACCCCATGTTGCAGATACCTTTAAAAGAAACTAAATATTCATGAAGCAGTTAACTCATTAGAGTTCATGATTTTTATGGATTATGTGCATATACAATCAAATAACGAAATTATCTATCTCCAGGTAGACAGATAGACAAACAATTATACATATTTAAACAAAAAAGAGGGAAAGTAGAGCTAAAGAGATGGAGAATAAAAGTGAGAAAGTTAGACAGGGTGAGAGAGAGAGAGAGAGAGAGAGAGTTAGATAGGGATAAAGAGAGAGAGAAAGAAGGTTAGACAGGGATAGAGAAAGTTAGACAGGGGTAGAGAAAGTGAGAGAGAGAGAGAGATAGAGAGAGAGAGAGAGAGATGGAGAGGGTGAGAGAGAGAGATGGAGAGGATGAGAGAGAGTGAGAGATAGATAGAGAGGGTGAGAGACCAATAGAGAGATGGAGAGGGTGAGAGGGAGAAACAGGATGAAAGAAAGCAATGAAGCGAGTGAGATAGAGACTGGAACACAGCATAAGAAGTGGTTGATTGCAGTATATCCTTTAATTTAAAGAAACTAAAATACATGGTTAAAGGTATAGACCAGTTTTGGAAACACCCCCTCTCAAAAAATGAAATGTAAGCTCTTATTACCAATCATGTGAAAGAATATGTTTTGACTAATACGTGATGATACAAATTTCGCTGGGAAACCTCCTACTAATTGATATATTTGGTAAATTATTACATCGTCCGGATTCATATCGCGCATGTGTCGCGTAGTCCCATATACATCTTTCTGTGTACAGTGCTTGTAACTTTACCAGGACTGGGCCAAATTTCTTATCATTTTGATGATTCCAGAACCTTGCAGTACCTTCCAATACTTATATGCTAGATGATCAACCTTTTCTGATCGATTCCACAACGTTTCTTTCACAATGCAATCACATGACCAGAACTGGTCTTTACTTTTAAAAATTGAAAATACACAAATGATACAAGCTACTTGTCTCTTTCTTAATGCCATATACTGTAACTGTATTCTGTTGCTCAATCTTCATTATTCTCCTCCGACAGGTTGTAAATGGTCAGTTCAATTTGACCCTTTACCCTGATGAGATCTACACACTGACCACTCAGGCCGTTGGTATGAAGGGCAAATACCCTGACCCTCCCCAAACTAAGCCCTTCCCAACCAAGTACACGGACAATTTTGATGGTAAGAAATCTTGCTTCAGTTTTGCCTTGTAAGGCTTTCATCTGGATCAATATGGAAATAACCATTAAACATGGTTTAGGAAATAATAACAGATTCACGTAGAATATATATGGAAGAGAAATATAATTAAGATTTGTTTTGTGCTCTAAATTTATCTGGTTGTCGCCAGGGCCCCGTCTTACAAAGAGTTGATATCAATCGCATCTTATTTGCGAATGATATCAATCGCAACTATGTACATAAGAGAAAGGAGACTACAAACTTACGATTAATCCAAATCAATGGCAAGTCCTCCAATCAATCGCAAGTTTGCAGGCTCCTATGTCTTATGTACATAGTTGCGATTGATATCAATTGCAAATAAGTTGCGATTGATATCAACTCGTTGTAAGACGGGGCCCAGGTCACTAAAAGTCATGTGACTTGAGAGAGTGTTCCTCATTGTGTAAGATTTGGATAATTCATCATAAAACCATGAAGTGAATTATCTGGATTTGTAAATTTGTCACCTTGGGTTGAAGGGGTTGACATCCTCTTACCCATAATAGCATTTATTGTATTTAATCTTTGGGTTCGGCTTATCCGAGACTTTATTATATATTTTATTAAAACAAGACAATATGTGGTCTTCCTTCTGTAATGTTTCTTTCCACTTTCCAACAGAGTACCCAATCTACAGTGAGGCCAGCTATTTTACAGACCAGGCTGGTTGCTTTGAAATCCGAAACTCTGGAAACATCAGTCACAACCTTGTCATGCAACAAGTAGCAACCTCCTTCCCAGTCAATTGGTGCAATGATGCCCATCACCCAATCTCGGTGATTGGAAACCATACCTGGTGAGTAGGTTAAGGCTTTATCATGTGATCTTGATTTATTTATTTCTCTTTAGGAGTCAGAAGGGGAAAACGTTTCAGGGCGATTCTTTCTGTCTTTGTCCACAGAAAGTGGAAAGCTGTGTAGAGGGATAGGTACTTATCTTTTTTCTGATTAGTACTTCTCACATGCTTTAAAGCCTGTCTGCACTAGTTTGGCCAGGAGGGATTAGACCTCCCTGCATGGTCACTGACAGGTGGGTATCTCATCAAATCAAGTTTCAATTAACATAAGAAAAAGGGGACCATGGGGGACCGACGGTCAACGCTTAGACGTTGTTTGCTATATAGAGGGCGCAATAGCTGTAAGTAGTGCAGTGGGGCTTTAACAGTTGCCCATGCTGTGAGAACCATATTGGCTCATTTCAGAGGAAAAAAAATTCTCCATCAGTTTAATCTAGCTGAATTCTTGTCCCACTATCCTGCAGGCGTGATGTGAGCTTTAGCATTGACGTTCATGTCTTGCCTTCGTCTGGAGCTATCCTTGCTCTCCGTGTGGATGCTGGCGGCTGTGGGGCAGCAGGCTCAGAAGGAATCTACTTCTGGCTCGGTGGAAGTGGAAAGTACAACGTTACCACGGACATGGGTAAGTACCCTAGACTATGCATCAGGAAAAGTACCCTCCATTGAAGGTTGTGTCAGCCATTTGCATGTCCCCAAAATGGATGACATATAAATTATGCTCAAGACTATGTTTCAAGCCAAATCAGTACTTCATTTATATTCTGCACATTGAGAAGTTTTGGAAGGATTCCTGACAATGACTTGATACATACACTCGGAATTGACATTTTGAGATTTTTTTTTTTTTTTTAAATATATAGATATATATATATTTTAAATAAATATTTTATATATTATTATTATTATTATTTTTTTTTTTTTAATTCTGTCAGTAAATACAAACAAGAATATAATTTAATATAATTTAATATATTTTAATTCTTTCATTCAACACATGAACATTGTATGTATTTGATGCGATGTATAATCTTAGCAGTAAACAAGATATTAAAATCTGTGCAATAATTAAAGATATATGACAATTTTATCCAAGCAGCTTTGCTAAGTTTTAATCGTAGGAATATTTTTGAGAATTTGAAATTTAGTAGTGAAAATTATCTCTTTTCTCTTTTCTTCTGTTTTGCAGAAGGCAAAAGTGTTGTGATGAATGGTACAGCTCCCATAATTGGCAATACCTGGGCTACAGTTCAGCTAACTGTCGTTGTAAGTATTCAATGAAAGAGCTCACTCTAGGTCACTAGTCAAAGGCCATGTAAGATCATTATGAGCTGAAAACCTAGACAGGGTTTGACGAAACATATGAACTTGAATTGCATTCAAGCTTGTATTACACCTGCAGCTGCACTTGGGGAACCCTCATGGTATATGACTGTTTAAAATGTAATTCTTTTGTTGGAGCCAATCTTATAGAAATTTATCTGTCTTTCATCTGCTATTGTTTTAGTACGTTGTACGATATGTTTTGTATAGGTCTTTTTGTAGTTGACAGACTCATTTTTGCACCAGGCTGCAACAAACTTGTGAAATTAGCAGAAATAAAACCCTTGCTATTATAATGAATTATTCAGGAACTATTTCTTTTCTGTGTGAAATAGAAATTGGTAATGATCTATCAATAATATGAATATGAATTGAAATTTGAATTTCTAGACTTTAACATTGGAACTTCAATATTAGCAAGAGTGGGTCATATGTGTATTGTGGGAACATTCTTGTAATGGCACTGTTTAAAGTTACTTGCCAAGGTTAAAGGTCATTTGGGGTCAACAATGGTTTATTCAAATGAAGCCATTTTGTCTTCTTCTACCAGTGCAAGTACACTCCTGTAGTTTAATAGCGTATGTACATACTTTTGTGCCGTGCTGTGAACTAGTGTGCCATGCTGTATTATGTGAGCCTCAACAAAGGTTCTAACAGGCTTCAATAGTCCAAAGTGTTCCTTGTTCAATTTCTTTTTTCAATTAATAACTCCTTCTCCAACTAGTTATGAAGCATTGTTATCCCAAGCAGATGGTTGACACTGGGGAAGAAAGAGATTTGAAACCCAGAGGTTTTATAGTCTGTGACGTCATAAAAAATCTTTTTGTAGAATTTCATAACATTAGGAACCAGAGCACTATAACACTGAGTTCCCATAGGATATATATTTATTCAGATGGTCATATCTCAGCCAATACTTAAAAATATTCAATTGGTTTTCGACATTCGGACATTATTTTTTATGCTCTTTCAGAAAATGAAGAAAAAATTGAGAAATTCTACAAAAAGATTTTTATGATGTCACATCTTCGGTACTCTATACTACTGCCGTAATATGAAGTAAAAGCTAACAATATTCAATAATGTTTGTATTTATATCAATGAATTGGATTGAATTTGAAATAAATTTGACTTTTTCATCTTGTCTACAGGGTGGTGAGGCCAAGGGGTCTGTGAATGGTGTTGAGGTGTTTGACTGGGTCAACATTCCTACAGTACTACCTCACCATGGATGGATCGCTATAGGAACACCAGACTATTCTGCAGCTCAGTTTGATAACTTTGCCATCCATTCTGCATCTTGATGACTGGAAAATAATAAGGATTATACTGTAAACATGACAAGCATTTGCATTGTGTTAATTTTCAGGCTCAATAAAGGAAAAAATGAAATGACTATGACTATGAACATGTCAACTCATATTTTATTGAACTAGGCAAATCATGAAATTAGTAGCACAAAAATGTAGTCATCTCAATTTCAGTATCATTGTGTGCAATATCAAAAAACTTACAAAATTGGTAAAACACACATTTCATTAAATTGGCCAAATCATGATATTAGCAGAAACATTTCTTTTCTCAAATGATAGGAGCAAGAAGGTTATCATGTGCAAGATTACCATGTTTACAGTACATCATGAAAATCAGATTTCTAGAGGCTCCCAGTAGGCCCACTGCAGAAACTGCTTTAAAGGTAAAGACCAGTTTTGGAAACGCCCCCCTCTCAAAAATGAAATGGAAGCTCTTATTACCAATCATGTGAAAGAATATGTTTTGACTAATACGTGATGATACAAATTTTGCCGGGAAACCGCCTACTTATTGATATATTTGGTAAATTATTATATATATCTGAACTGGATAGATATAGGGTAGTTCCATAAACATCTTTCTGTGTACAGTGCGTGTAACTTTACCAAGACTGGGCCAAATTTCTTATCATTTTGATGATTCCAGAACATTGCAGTACACACCAATACTTATATGCCAGATGATCAATCTTTTCTAATCGATTCCACAACGTTTCTTTCACAATGCATTCGCATGACCAGAACTGGTCTACCGTATACCTTTAAGTTCAGAACTAATTACTGGCAAAAAAAATGTTATTAAATTGTGATCACTACTAATGATGGGCTGGGATTAATTAACTAACCTCCTAATCATTTTTATTCAAACTATATTCAATGTTGTTTTTTAAGTTTATTCAGTAAATATACGAAAAATGAAACTGCCTTCAATTTTTTTTAATTTAGCGGTGAACAGAACGGAAGTTTATACTCACTTGTGTATCAATAAATACATTTATCACATTACTTTGGTTTCATCCGATCTTACCCTAGTTATGTGAGCTGTGCAATTTCTTTACATGGCATGTAATTCAAAAGAAATAACATTCATTTAACTGAAATAACATTCCTACTTGTGATGTAGTGTTTGTAAATATTCTTTTCTGTCAATGTATTGCTGTAGTCTGTCTTTGGGAGGAGGCGCATACAAACAGGCAGCACACACCAAGTGGTAGGGCAAGTAAATTTGTATTGACTATCTGATATACGGGGAACAAAACCCTGGCAAGAGAAATAAAAAGGATCATGAATACATTGTATGTAAAAGACATGGGTATGTCCCTTCCCATCAACGGATCACCTGTTCACAAAAGACATTGGTATGTCCTCACCAACTGAGTACCTTATTCATTAGCATTGCATGTTTTCATATAATAGCCCATTGAAACCCTTCTTTTCATGGTGTTGCTTGGGGATTTCTGACATAGCAACTGCTTTAACATATAATTGAATTTTGTGAGTAAGCATTGTATAAAAACATGCAATGGTATTGTGAACAGGTGGTCAGTTGATAGGAAGGTACATACCAATGTCTTTTGTTCATCTAGATGAATGACATTGAATAGCATGATGATGTCACAAAAGTCATTTGCATTTGGAGGTGTTTTTTTTAGGGGTGGAGCTTAGCAGGTAGAACAAAAGTAATAGACAAATTAATAGAAAATATATGATACAAATGTACATCAAAAAGTGAAAAGATATGTGATGTATGCATTATTACAAATCAACAAAAGTCGACTTAAATTGTAATTTAGTATATTCCAATTTATAGCTCTATATTATTCATTGGCAAAGATGATGTATATGACATATGACTCTGATCTTTCATATTGTAATTTTTTTTATTTTTAAAGGCCCACTGTCTTCTTGTAGCTACTTGCTCCCTCTATATAGAAAACAATGCCTAATCGGTGACCATTGGTCCCCCCATGATCCTCTTTTTCTTATGTTAATTGAGAGCTGAGTTGATGAGATAGCCACCTGTCGGTGACCTTTGTGGGTGGTCTAATCCATTCTAGCCAAACAAGTACAGACAAGCTTTAATATATAGGTGTGTGGTCCAGTTATGATTTGTTTTTAAACAAACTATATATCATTGGATAAAAGATGTATTTGTAATTTTTTCAATAGAAATTCATACATTACAGAGTTGCCTATGTACATTTATGTAACGAATGTGAGGAATGTCAGGAGGAAACAGATATATGGCTTTTGTTTCAAATGTCAACTTTTAATCATGTAAGACGTGAAATGTGTACCTTTTCCAGTTACTATTCTGCATATAATGTAGATTGTTTTTTCATTTGTGCTTGTGGCAAATCAAGTAATAAACTGGCATTGATAGAAAAGTCATATATCATTTTCTTTCAAATTTAACATTAACCAATTTAATTGATTTTCTTTAAATTCATTTCTTGTAGGTATTATCATTTTGTCTGTTCTTTTTATCTAGTTGGTATAATAATTGATATGGATAACTCTATTTTTGTGTAATAAAATTAATACAGCACCAATAATCCACAAGTTGTGATATTGAATTAATGTCAATGAGTGAGTGGTAGCAGAAAACCTTCTAAGCTAGTTGTTTACTAATTACAAAGACTAATTACAATAGTACTTAGTTGACCCCATTCTCACTCACCTGCTTGGTGGGTCTACGTTCGAGTGGTCTAACGGTGAGTGTGAAGACAAACAGTGCCAGGAAGCGTACTTCGACCTGAAGTGAGTGTGTTTTCGCGGGGATTATTGAGTTGGGAAGTAAGACAAAGAAATGAGGGAAGAGGTAGAATGAAAGATGATAGTTGAGTAATAAGGAAATACACAGTGAAACATTTGAAAAGAAGAGATGAGATGGGGGGACAAAGGGCGACATGAGAAAAAATAGAAAAGAGGAAAAGAAAGAATAATGAATATAAAGACTATAAAGAAGAGAAGATGAAAGGAAAACAAACAATGGATATTAAACTGGAGAATATTAAAAGAGAAAATGATAGAAGGATGAAAACAGAATAACAAAAAGAGCTAGAGAATAGAAGAAAAATGGGAGGATAAAAACGAAATAATAAGAAAAGACTAAAAGAAAAGAATAAAGATCAAGAATAACACTATGAAGAGAATTAAGATGATAGTTAAGTAGCATTAGGGTCTCATTAGGATCAAAATTGTGATAAAGTGCGAATAGGTCTAGCATAGACCGGTCCAGGAAATATGGAGAACGGGGTCCACTTTACTCCGGACTTTACTGCATGCTCTCAATTATAAACCCTGGATCAAGACACACCCACTACCTAATCCAGGTCAGGTGACTGTTATGGTCACATGACCTTTATGTACAGTACGGTACCTGTGTAGCGTGCGTGGTGGCGAGATCGGTTGCCTGGTAGTAGAGGTACGATACGGATGAGACCGAAAACCAATTCTGTCTAGGCTCTAGCCTGACTTACAATTATTTCATTCTCCCTAAATCGAATTAAATATCGAGCTTGTGGAAGTTCTGCCAGCTAACACTCAGTCTGTAGCAGTTTTTTCTGCTAGTTGTGGTAACCGTTTCGGAAAGTAAAATGGAAACACTGTCACATTTTGGAATTCATTTCACCATATCACTTTGCATTTGGTGTGTGGTTGTCTGCTCTGCCGCTGCCTTGGCGTCAGGTTCAAGTTATTTGGTGGACGATAGTGGAGGACTTGGACCACGATTTGATGGCATCGGTGGAATAAGTGGAGGAGGGGTAAGTTCTCAAATTAAAATCATGCACCCACATTTCGTGCTAGACGATCTGATGATGATGACGGGTCACAGCATTTATAATTATATTGCGCCGTATTTCTGTTGGAAACGTTCAAAGGTGCTGTTCCTAAAGTCTTCGACTGTATTATTTATGACCAATATAGAAATAAATGATATTTAAATTAGTAAAATTTAACATTTTAGTTTATAGATCGTCTACTGTCTGTTATGCTAATTTTCAATTGTTTTTCTTGTTTTCATAGGCCACCTCAAGACTTCTTGTCAGCTATCCGGATCCAGAGAGGAGCCAGATCTTGGATTATCTTTTTTCAGTGAGTTGATGATAATTAAACAAAATAGTTAAGACATGGCATGCGCAATAAACATATTGTGTGCTTACATCTAAGAATTAATTAGTTTCCCATAAATGCAAATATCTCACCTTGGGCAATATTTTCACTGTAAGCCTTTTGTAAGCCCCCAATTTAATTTTTCACATATTTTTTTGATAAATAAAAAACCCCACATACCCAGAATTCAAGGGGGGTACATTGTTTGTTTTATTTATTCATCATATGTAAAATAATTATTTACAGTAAATAAAATTCAGTGGGTAATTACATCGAGATATAATACATAGTAGGAACAGTACATATAAACAAAAAAATTGTTTGAAGCGCAATGTCCCTAAAATAACTTAGCTGATAATTATTAGGTTGAGATAGCTAGAACATGGCTTAAAATAAGACATTCTGTCATTACAAAAACAGCTTTGTGTTTTTCTTCTACATGTACATAAATTGTAGATTAAGATTGATACAGTTGAGTTGAAGATTACATCTACTTTATGTTCACAGGAGCTCATGCAGTTTAGTTTTGTAACGGATTCAAGAGCTGTTTTTAAACTTGCCTGGGCTCATTAACCGAGCTTCTGTAATTTTGATCATTCCTTGATTCATAGCAATCAATTGATCAAAAATTGTTGATAGCTCTTGGCTAACTTAAAGTAATATTTTGTTACCCTATATTCATACAGTAAAATGTTTTGAAGAAGTTGTCTCCTATAAACTTTGCCATATCTGTTAATATGCTTATTAAATGATGCAATATGTTATTTTTGTTTTACTATTGAAAATACACCTTGATTTCCAAGTATTTTATCCCAAATTATACCACGACGTGGAATATAGTGTAGTTTAAATAAAAGCAGTTTAATCTGTTGATCTTGGTGATACAAGATCAGGTCAGGATTAATTACATGTTTATGATGATATATCATTGGTATATCATTGTTCATTACATTTTTTTTCTACATCATTATTCCAGCCCAACTTTGGTGCAGCCCTTCATATTTTGAAGGTTGAAATGGGAGGAGATGCAGAGAGTGGAATAGGAACAGAGCCATCTCACATGCACTCCCCTGACGATGAGAACTATCAAAGAGGATACGAATGGTGGCTCATGAAGGAGGCAAAGAAGGTAACCATGGAAATGAAGAATGTTCATGCAATTACATAGTTTAGTGATACGGAAAAGCAGCACTTTTGCAAATTTAGAGAGTGGTGCAGATTTGCAGAGTTTTCATTAATTTTCCCTTTTTTTACAGTTTACAAGGTATACAGTATATGAATTTGTGAAATTGTAAGTTGAGCAGTTTTCCTCACAAGACAGTCATACTGCAATTGATGACCAAGTGAATTAATGAGCCATAAAATTATGTTGGTTTAAAGGTCAATACTGAAAATGCTCATGTTCCAGATAGCTTTCATTCTGTATATAATTTGATCATTGAGGAAACTAATTTTCAAGCCATATAACTTTAACCTAAAAATTGTTTTATTACCCGTATTACAGGTAAGAGCTGTAAATGTGTAACTTTGTTCATTTTGTGGAAAAGAAATATACGTGTGTATTTGAGTTAAAAGTACTGATGACAGCAACAACCATCCATTGATAAACTGTAAATACTAAAAAGTATCAAATATATTTGAACTTATTTTGGGTACAGCATGATAAACCTGTAACAACCAGAGAAGCTGATTAAGTAGCAGTTGACACTGTATCGTCTAAACCTGATGGCTCGTCTAGATAAGCGCTGATATTATTGATGAAATTCATGGTAATGATGATAATGGTCACAAATAAACCCGCTGCCTCTCCAATTGCTCTCTTCCACCCTGCCAGCGGAATCCAAACATCAAGCTGTACGCCCTGCCATGGGGCTGGCCAGGGTGGGTAGGTAACTACACCAACAGCCCTTACACCGACATCAAGCAGGCCATCGGGTATGTCATGAAATGGCTGCAAGGAGCAAAGACAGTGCATGGATTGACCATTGATTACCTAGGCGTAAGTATATTGATCGATGAGTTAATAGATTGATTAATACTAATAGTCAAACGCGTATATTTAGCAATTCTTACTACGTTTCAAATCACTTGACATGTAATTATTATGCTAATGATTGATGGATGGATGGGTCAATTGGGTGGTTGGTTGCATGGGTGATTGATAAGTTCATCAATTGAGCAATCGATATGGAATCGATTATTGATTGGTTGGTTGATTAATTGATTGATTGACCAATCAATACTATGGAATAGATTATTGATTGCTTGATTGGTTGGTTAATTGATTGATTGACCAATCAATACTATGGAATAGATTGTTGATTGCTTGATTGGTTGGTTGATTGATTGATTGACCAATCAATATGGAATTGATTGCTCAATTGATTGATTGGATGCCTTACCTAAATACAAAGAAAGCAAGTTTGAAACAGTAATTAATATTAGTAAAATGGCATTGAGTGTGCTGATATGAAAAATTTGTGATAGAATCTAGTTTGCCTTAGATTGTGCTACATATACATTTCATGTTACAAAGCTCGTAGCCATGTGTGTTATGATGATAAGACATTGAATGGGTATGTTTCACTTTTACTGATTATTTGCAAATGATCGCCAACATTATTGTCCCTAAAGCGCAGTTTGTGTTGGGTTATGTTGTACATGTACGCTTTTTTCTTTCTTCTTCCCTCTTTATCGTTGCTATAGTTTTCATTTGTGAGCATCAAATGTCATTCATTCCAGCCTTCACAATAGTATCTGTTGGCCATAACACTTTCTTTGCCTTTTTTATCTAGATTTGGATTGAGAAAAGCTACACCAAAGAATACCGGTACATCAAACTCTTGAGAAAAACAATGGATTCCTGTGGCTTCCAGAATGTGCAGCTGGTGGAGTCTGACCGATAAATTGAAATCAGCTACGATTTAACGGATTCTGAGTTAGCTGTTGATGTCAGCATCCTAGGGTAAAAAAGTCTTCAGATCTGCATTGTTGTTGGGTGGTGGTTTAACTCTTTTTCTCGAGTCTTTTTTCTTCTTCTAGGGTGTGATTTATCACGCCATGACCTGACCTGCATGTTGCTAACCACATTCTTATTAACTCCGCTGCAACACTTTTTTTCTTCTTCATCACTTTTCTTCTTGTTTTATATATATTTTCATTTCATGCTCTCCTGATTTTAGTGTGTCTAGTCTTTCTCTGTTTGTTTGACGTTTTCATGTTGTGTGGATAACTAGATCCTCTCATCTTATTTGTGTCTTTAGAAGTTGCACTGACCTAGTAAGCTCTTTGTCTGTATAACCTTAAGAGCATTCTCTCATATTAATCATACCCAGCTTTATTTTACCTCTCTGTTTGCTGCATTCTCAATTTATCATGAGATAGTAATATGCCTAGCATCTTTTTTCATCTATTAAACTACAAATCTTAACTCCCAACTATCCACAGCCTTTCCTAATTTTCCTTTTCTTTTTGTTTCCTTTTGTTTTAATACAACCTATCTCTACCCTGCTTCTACACCCTTCAACCCTCCTCTCTGAAGATATGGAATGAAAGAGCTTACAACAAAGACTATATAAAGCAGTTACGCCAAACGCTAGACTCCAGCGGCATGATGGGAACTCAAATAGTCGCTGCCGATGGGGGCGCCTATGGGGGCCAGGCCATCAGTAAAGATATCCTTGACGACAAGGATCTTGCTAAAGCTGTTGAAATCTTGGGGTAACTAGTAAAATTGACAGAGTTGAACTGTGAAGTCTCTTAGTTAATGTTTTTTTTTATTTGTGTGCAAAGTTTAGTGTGTACACCGGGTACTTATTTTTATGAAAACATGTACAAAAAACATGTTGATGGAAGCTCATCCGTTATAAATCCTTGGAACTCATCTCCACTGCTATATGTACATGAATTCATCATCTCATGGATATAGAGTACAAACACACATGCATACCTGTATTCAGGTTGACGCCTTTGCATACATTGTAGAATAGAACTCGTCCTGGAATTCCTCTCCGTATAGTCTTGGGTCATTCAGGTTTATCATGGAACACAAAGCATCTACTAGGTGATGTGTAGAGGCTGATGTTGTACACTGAATGTCCCATAGCAAAACAGTTTCAACCTACATGGTATACAAACAGTGTTTCATACAAGTACATTCCAGAGTACATGTTTTAATTGAATGACTGCAATTTTTACCGGGTGATCAGGTATACATGTATTTGTATAGCTATGCTTAGGTGACAAATTTTCTGGGCTATTTTGTCAAATACCGTACTTTTTACGCCAAACTGTATATTTCAAATATGAGGGCATTTGAAAAAGTTCAAGACCAGTCCTGGTTGGACATTTCTACTATGATGTTCTTCTAAGATTACATGGAGAGCTGACAGATTATCTTATATCTTTACCAGAACCCAACCTTCTTTTAAAACAATCTTTTACTGTTGCAGATTTCATTATCCTGGTACATACGTGACTAAATACACCACAGAGACAAGAAAAACGTTATGGTCTAGTGAGGACTACAGTACAAAAAATGACAACATAGGAGCAGGATGCTTGGCAAGGGTAAGTCATTTTTTTCTTGATTCCTCCTTTCTTTTTTAGCAGATGTTTTTCTGCATTTATTGATTAATGAAATATAAAACATTCAATTGAAAAACATAGTTAGTATATAATATAATTGAAGAGTGACAACTTAAATACACACAAAAAAATGCATATATATATATATATATATATAATTGAAAACTTGAAATTATGGAGGTAAGTAAAATAATCAAGTTAAATGCAGAGGCCAACTATCATAAGCATGAATGCTTGAGTCGATAGCAGTAGGGAAGTGGGTACATTATTGCTTTTGACTTCGCTATCTTCCCTTTTATGAATTTCCATGCAGGTTGTCACTAAAGCAGATTTGACTGTATAATTACAAGTGACAATTGTTTTTCTTACCCAATAATATATCTTGCTTCTCTCAGATACTGAACCGGAACTATGTGAATGGGAATATAACAAGTACAATATCGTGGAACCTAATTGCTAGCTACTATGGGTCTTTGCCCTACGATCGCTGTGGGCTAATGACGGCTAGAGAGCCTTGGTCAGGCAACTACGCGGTGGAAGGCCCTATCTGGGTTACTGGTATGTATAGCATCACCATATGTTGTTAGATTTAGATTTATTGCTTTGGTAGCATTATTCCATTTGGCATCAATAGATAGTAAACAGATCTTGTATGTACGATGGTATTTTTATGATTCCGCTTCAAGTAGCCAGGGGCATTGTGTTTTCGGGTTGTCCCTCGATACGTCTGTACGTTCTGATTGATGGATTCCCGCTAAACTAAGGTCATGTATGTATCTTGCAGAGCCAATATGAACTGATAAGATTTTGTGGTCAGCAGGTCAAAGGTCACAGGGCTCGTTATGTATGCGAAAAAAGCTTGTGAACTCACTATCATTGATGAAATCAATTTCTTCATATATTGTTTATTTTGTAAAACTATTAACAGCACACACCACCCAGTTCACCTTGCCTGGCTGGAAGTATTACTTACGAGGATCAGGAGCAGGTCACCTAGACCAGGGAGGAAGCTATGTCAGTCTTACTGATGGCAAGAACTTCACCATCATCATAGAAACCATGGTAAGTTTCATCACACCCTGGCATTACAAGACCACTGCTGTACTGACTGAGCTATTACCCCATCGCTTTCTCGTTATCGCAAAATCTCCAGATCCACTTGAGATATGAGGCTTAAACTTGATGATAATATATATTACCATAGGAGAATGATTAGATCAGATTTTGGGTAAATAGGTGACAGGTCAAAGGTCACTGAGGACAATTTCTGAAATTTTAGGTTTATTGCACTTAATATCTAAACATGGTGACAGTATGGGACGATCCAATTACAATTTGGGGCTAGTAGGTCAAGACCATAGTCGTCAAACGGGAGTCGCAGTTGCATTTGTCTTGCTTTTTCTGTTTTTCTGTCATTATATGCATCCTTCACTATCGTTTTAATTTTGTGTCAAATGTTAGACTTTGCAAATACGAGTCTTGACAAAGTGTAAAATTTGTTGTGCTCTTATCATTGTATTCTCTTTACTTTTGATTTTGTATTTATTGTAAACAGACACGCGATCATTCAAAATGCATCCGTCCCTTTCTGCCACCATACACTGTAAAAACACAGACTGCTAGCTTCACCCTGAAAGGCATGTTTGTAAGTACAATATAGTCAGTTGAAATAAGCCATATTAGGCAAACATTTAAGCATTGGGTTGTGATCTTCTTTTCTGTTTTTATTGCCGTCTATATTATCTTTATCTTAAATGATGATATTTATTCTGGCATTCTGTTTCACTCTCTCTTTGGTGTAATGTTAAATCTCTCTCAAGAAGCCAAGATATTTAGTGCTATTAATTTCTTTTAGATCTCTGCAGTATATTTGGGGCTATTGTACAGATTTTGTCAAATGTGAATATAGGACAGTAAAAAATAAGTTTTCATGAAATGACTCTAATATTAGGTCAACATTTATTATATAAATATGTGGCAAATATTATGAATTTTTCTAAAAGCTGTATGTCTCGGCCAAAATGATCATGATCAGATTGTAACAATCTGTACTTGCTTTTTCCAGGCCTCTGTCAAGTCTCTCAATGTGTTCTACTCCAAGCCTGGCTATGGTGGGAATTCTTCAGTTTATTTCATGAAGAAAAGTCCTGTTCAAGTAAGTTCCAACATCCTCTCAAGTCATATTATATGTAGATCAACTAGACCCATTCACAGAACCCCCTCAATATATCAAATAATGAAATTATCTATATCCGGTGTGCTGTATGGAGACAGGGGTGGATCCAAATAGAGCTAAAGAGATAGAGAATGAAAGTGATGAAGTAAGACAGGGTTAGAGAAATGGAGAGGGAGAGAGGGTGAGAGAAAGATTGATTGCTTGCAGTATTTCCTTTAATTAAAAAAACACTAAAATACATGGTTCAAACAAACTATTGAAACTATATTCTGTTGCTCAATCTTTGTTATTCTCCTTTGACAGGTTGTAAATGGTCAGTTCAATTTGACCCTTGACCCTGATGAGATCTACACACTGACCACTCAGGCCGTTGGTATGAAGGGCAAATACCCTGACCCTCCCCAAACTAAGCCCTTCCCGACCATGTACACAGACAATTTTGATGGTAAGAAATCTTGCCACAACTTTGCTTAACAAGGCCTTCGTCTTGATCAATATGGAATTAAATCATGTGACCATTTAACAGAAATCACCAATATTCAGAAATAAAAACAAATTCACATAGAATGGAAAGAAAAGTTAACATTTGTTTAGTGAGCAAAATTTATCTGGTTCTCATAAGGTCACAAAAAGTTATGTGACTTGACAAGAGTGTTCCTCATTCTCATGAACGTGATAAAGATTTGAAGATTTCACCATGAAGCCATGGAGTGAATTTTCTGGTTTGTAAATTTGTCACCTTTTGAGGGTTAAAGGAGTTGACATCCTCTTACCCAAAGTACATGTAGCATTTAATCATTGGATTTTGCTTATCCAAGACTTCATTATATCTTTTAGTAAAACAAGACAATATTTGGTCTTCCTTCTTTCATGTTTCTTTCCACTTTCCAACAGAGTACCCAATCTACAGTGAGGCTAGCTATTTTACAGACCAAGCTGGTTGCTTTGAAATCCGAGACTCCGGGAACATCAGTCACAACCTCGTCATGCAACAAGTGGCAACCTCCTTCCCAGTCAATTGGTGCATTGACGCCCATCACCCAATCTCGGTGATTGGAAACCATACGTGGTGAGTAGGTTAAGGCTTTACAGTGGGATATAGCTATAGTACCTTGGGAAGAGGTGAGGTAGGTGCAACAGTGAGTGATTTCAAGTTGGGTGTTAGTGTTTAGAGCAGTCAAGAGCTCTATTTGCTGATGAGATTAAGAGCTCGATACCGATATCAATATCGATAGCTTAACACCACCAGCAAACAGCACTGTGAGATCGCCACATTGACTTGATTTCATGACAATGATTTCATAATATTTCATCAAAACCAAAGATATCATGAAATACACAGAATAAAGTTACACTTATTTTTCTGGTCTAATAAAATAACTAATTTTACACAAAAGAATATTAGTAAAGGACCTGTTTCACATATTTGTATTTGATCGTCGGACAATAAATTAGCGTCGTTCGTGTGTTGACTGTTGTGCAGGTACAACTCTAACACCGAACTGGAAATCAACATTTGCTTAATCCCTAGGGCTAGTGTTAGTGAATAGGACATTTGTACGTAAAATATTCACATCAGCCACAAAGGTCGGTTCAGCAGACAACAATTTTGCAAAATTGATAACACTATAACTACCGGAAGTTGAGGATATTCAGAGGTCAAAGCCTTAACACCAGCCGATTTCCATTTGGGTAGGGCTGGTGTTAGTGTTTATTAAACGCTAACACCAGCCCTATACACCCAACTTGAAATCACTCAATGGCTTTCTGGATGCTGGCTTCTTTATGCTTGTTGTAGAGCTGGTGCCATCAGTTAGCAGAAGCAGTCGTAAGGGGAAAACTTTTTCTGGGCAATGGGGATTTATGTTGTCATAATCAGTTCTTTTTGTTTTGTCCAATTAAATCTGAATTCTTGTCCTACTTTCCCGCAGGCGTAATGTGAGCTTTAGCATTGACGTTCATGTCTTGCCTTCGTCTGGAGCTATCCTTGCTCTCCGTGTGAATGCTGGCGGCTGTGGGGCAGCAGGCTCGGAAGGAATCTACTTCTGGCTTGGTGGTAGTGGGAAGTACAATGTAACCACGGACATGGGTAAGTATTCTAGACTATGCACCTGGAAAAGTACCCTCCATTGACGGTTGTGTCAGCCATTTACAGCTCCCCAAAATGGATGATATAATATAAGAAAATATGTTCAAGACTGTGTTTCAAGTCATTTTGGTACTACATTTATTTTCTACAAGTTGAGACCCTAGTGTCTTTCATTGTCTAAAGTTGAACTATGACCCAGATTCAGGTCTGTAAGACGTTTGTTTAACCTGTTGAAAACTAAATTCTCTTATCCCCATAGACTTAATACAGGGACCACCCGGTTCCAGTAGGCAATGGCTTAACTACTTCGCTCTCCTCACTTTATAATGTGTTCATACACATGCACATTGTTTGTATTTGATGCAATGTATACCATATTTGCCGGCGTAAAGGCCGCAGTATTTTTGGAAGAGAAAATATCAAAAAAGTTGGGGTGCGGCCTTTACGGCGAAAGAGTACCCCCCAAAAAAATAGTGTTTTACGAAAAAATTACGATTATTTTGTTTTGTCCGTTTGTTTTTTTGTTTTTTTCCTCTTTGAAATGTCAAAGTTGGGGTGCGGCCTATGCGACGCTGTGGCCTTATCGCCGGCAAATACGGTACTCTAATAGCACAAAACAAGATAAAGCTCTTTGAGAATTATAGTTACTTTTATGAAAATGTTATATGAACAACCGTTGCTAAGTTTTAATTGTATAGGGATATTTTTTAGACTATGAAATTTTGTAATGAAAAATATCATCTTTTTCCTCTTTTCTTTTCTTTTGCAGAAGGGAGAGATGTGAAGAGTGGTACAGCTCCCATGCAAAACAAAATTACGATTATTTTGTTTTGTCCGTTTGTTTGTTTTTTGTTTTTTTCCTCTTTGAAATGTCAAAGTTGGGGTGCGGCCTATGCGACGCTGTGGCCTTATCGCCGGCAAATACGGTACTCTAATAGCACAAAACAAGATAAAGCTCTTTGAGAATTATAGTTACTTTTATGAAAATGTTATATGAACAACCGTTGCTAAGTTTTAATTGTATAGGGATATTTTTTAGACTATGAAATTTTGTAATGAAAAATATCATCTTTTTCCTCTTTTCTTTTCTTTTGCAGAAGGGAGAGATGTCGTGAAGAGTGGTACAGCTCCCATGATCGGCCATACCTGGTCTACAGTTCAACTAACTGTCATTGTAAGTATTCAATGAGAGAGCACTCTCTAGGTCATGTTATTTTGCTGTTTAAGGTCACTTAAATTCATGTTATTTTGCTGTTTAATGTCGCTTAAATTCCTTTTATTTTGATGGAGCCAACTCTTAAGAAATGTAATTCTTAAGAAATGTCTCTGTCTTTTGTCTACTATTGTTTTAATACTGAATAAGCCAATATGTCATATAAATTGTTTTGCAACCATGCAACAAATTTGTTAAGTTTTCAAAAATGTTATGTTTGTCTGGATTATCCTTAATCAATTGAATTTATATTTGAATATTGACAAGTTAACGTTAGAGCTTTGATTTTAACCAAGTCTGGGTCATAGGCGCATTATGGTAACCATCATGGTCCTATTGAATGTCACCTTCCAAGATCAAAGTTCAGTTGGAGTCAAAATCATTTCTTCCAGGTCTGGGTCATAGGTGCATTATGGGCACCATCATGGTCCTGTTAAATGTCACCTTCCCAGGTCAAAGTTCAGTTGGAGTCAAAATCATATCTTCCAGGTCTGGGTCATAGGTGCATTATGGGCGCCATCATGGTCCTGTTAAATGTAGCTTCCAAGATCAAAGTTCAGTCTGGGTCAAAATCATTTCTTCCAGGTGTGGGTCATAGGTGCATTATAGGAACCATCATAGATGGGAACCATCATAGTCCTGTTGAATGTCACCTTCCAAGGTCAAAGTTCAGTCGGGGTCAAAATCAATTCTTCCAGGTGTGGGTCATAGATTCATTATGGGAACCATCATGGTCCTGTTGTATGTCATCTTCCAAGGTCAAAGTTCAGTTGGAGTCAAAATCGTTTCTTCTGATTAAGAATATTCTAAACAAATGAGTATGCTTTTTCAATTTTGTCTATAGGGTAGGGAGGCCAAGGGGTCTGTGAATGGTGTTGAGGTGTTTGACTGGGTCAACATCCCTACAGTACTACCTCACCATGGATGGATCGCTATAGGAACACCAGACTATTCTGCAGCTCAGTTTGATAACTATGCCATCCATTCTGCATCTTGACGATCAGCCATAGACGAAATACTTCATGCATGGCTGATTGTCAACGAAACAGAGTTAAGTCTTTTGTCGATTCTGCTTGTCACTACGGCAGGCAGCCAGTGAAAACTAAATTGTTTAATCAAATTATGGAAATGCAAGCATTATTTTAAACAAACAGAACTTTGTTATTCCTTGCTCATTTTTCCTGATTGAGGTGTCATATGAAAGGGCAGAAACTGAACTTTCTAGAACTGATTTTCTCTTTAAAATTCAGATACCGTCCGCCAAATGAATTTTTGGTTCCCTCTCTTCAAATTGATTTTAATCACTCATGCGTGAAATTTGCATCATATGAGTTGCATCAAATGAAAGCGGAGGATCTAAGCTTTACAAATGGTTGTCATTTATTAATTATAATTGTGATTAAGTTATGATAAAACAGTGATAATATTCAGGTTTCATTTTTTCAGGGGCGCACTGTATATATAACTGATCATGTTTTGTATTTTTTTAAAGTTTTAATACAGTGGTGTGTGGTCAAGTAATGTTTCTTTTTTTTTCTAATAATATAATAATGAACTTTTTATCAATGAATAAAAGGAGTATGTGTAATCTTTTAGAAATTTAGAAATTACAGAGTTGCCTTGTGTACATCTATTTTTTGATAGATAAGTCATATTTCATTTTCTTTCGAATTTGACAATCAATTTCATTGTTTTTTAATTTTTGTCATTAGTCATTGTTATTTTTCGCTTTCATAATTTTAATGGTCAAATAATTAATATAGGGTGCTCTAGTTATGTAATAAAAATGACAATGCATTTATAATCCAGAAATTGTTATATTGAATCAGCATCAATAATATAGTATTTGTAGAAATCAGATGAATTTACAGTTAGAAATGAGAGAGGTAGGTAGAGAGAATGAGGGGACAATAGAGAACGAGAGAAATAGAATAAGAGGAGAACGGACAGGAAAAGAGAAAGAGGGGAGAATGGAGAGGGAGAAAGAAATAGAATAATGGGATAGTATTGGACAGAAATTATTTGAGGAGTGAATGGAAGAAAGAGAAGAGAAAGGAAAAATGTGAACAGTAGGGGTAAAAAAAGGCAAATGTAAATTAAGCCCACATCGCAGTACACGATCTGACTATGATCAGAATTCAGAAGAATTTCCAAAGAGCATATGATATGAACATTCAAACTTCTAAATTCCTAATGATCATTGAATGATTTTATTAGTCGTAGGACTAATCAATTTAAATGGATTTCACGTTTTCTTGGAAGAGGAATGGCTAAATCGGCTCAGAATCGTATTGATGTCATACCAGGTAGTGCAATTTTTTACAAATATTTGAATCTGATTAGGCTTTGATACTTGCTAGAAAGCTTAAATGCACTGCAGTTCAAGTTGTTAGCGTTCTTATCATCATTTGAAGCTTACATCGGGATGATGTTCACGAGCGTTCACACTCCGAGCAGTTTTTATGGCTCAAACCGCTCCACGAGTCAAAGTGGTCTTGTTGCTATGGCAGCTCATGTAGGCGGGTCAATTTTTTTGCGCGCGGAATCCAAACCCTATGTCACCTGATGTCCCGTTCGCGACACGTCCCGTATACATGTATATGTGTAGTGCCTGCCCGATCGCTCATCGCGCGGAACGTCACTTCCGTTCAAAGTACGCTTTCCGTTCACATTGCACGTTAGAGCGCTCTGGAGCACTCTTAATAAGACCCGCTCCTCAAGACCACCTCGGAAGGTGGACTTCTGGAGCGGTCCAGAAGTCCGCTTTCTGGACCACTTTGAGCGTTCTCACTCACCTAAGAACCGCTCCTGAGGAGCGGGTCTTAGTTATATTGTTGGTTATTAATTATGTTATTACATTTTATTATGATTTAGTGACAGATTTAATTATTCAAAAACATATTCATAAGGACACTTGGCATTCCATACCTAGTCGGTGGATTAAACCATGGACTAAAGTTAGTCCGCTTTCAAGAATACCACCCTGGATATTTCTATTATTCCAAATGTTGTAATTTTGTAAAAAAGTTCACTTCCAAGGAATGATTACCTTCTTGGATGGTCTCGATTGAGGCATTGAAAGCGCTATACACAATGCTGCTCACATACACACTCCCACTTTGCACCTCAAAAATGATTAAACCAGACAACCTTAATAACAAGATACACAACTTGCAAACATCACATTTCAACCTCATGAAGCATTGGCTCAACACGCGGGTGAACAAAACAAAATTAGTCACCAACGCGTTCTTTATACATATACTATCGAATAATTTAATGTAGATAAACAACTGTACATTACAAGATAGAATGACAAATGATCACACAGTAAGAATAGCACACACTGAAAGATGAGTGATTAGGTTCATATAGAAAGTCTGCTGAGAGCCAGAAGGGTGTTACATGTGTACAGTTAATTCCCTTATGGCTCTAAGCGGACAAAATCAACGTACCTTATAAAGGACAACTAACGTTGAATAATCATATAACAGGGGTTCACAAATAGAAAGATATAAAGTACTATGTAATCAAAACATTGAATATTGCACACACTTGGTTCTAGAATACAAAACTCAGCTTAAAGTAGATAGATCTGTCTGAAAAAAAGAAAGAGAATTCGCACCATCTATTCAGAATTGCATCACACAATGCATAATTAATCAAAATCAATAAATCAAATTCAGAACTATGTTTATTACCTCTTCATATATATGCAGTCAAAGCTTGATATTTCATATATAGGTCCGAAATATGGTAAAAAGATTTATATTTTCAAAGAGACCATTAATGAATCTTTACATCAATGCATCAAGTGTTTGTATATCATGATTTATCCAAAGTCTGAGATCAATAGAATACCCCGGTACAGGGTATTGGTGTGAGTGAAATTTAAAGCATAAATCACAATTTCTGTATCTTTATCCAATCTTATCTTCACCAAAATGAATGAAATGACCCAGCCTTCTCTTTCACCGTCTCCCCAATGACTCATTATAAAACCCTCCATCATCAATTTTCACTTTGATTGAAGACACAGGGGGCTATTTGCTATTGTTAAATCTGTTATACTAGACTGAGGAGGGGGCCATTGGGTGCCTGATATAATTTCCCTTGTGCCTTGTTACATCTGTTGTGACACAAAATATGGTGAACCCCTCAACATTTATAACATCAAGAAAATCATGATCAAAGTCACTTTGAAGAGATGCACATCATTTACTTCATGTAGACTTTGTAATGAATGTTAACAAATATAATAATATAAAATAGATGGCAGGAAAATGAGTTTAACTATCCTAATTGAGTTCTCAGATAATTCTGTTGGAATTTCTGAGGTATATTTTGTCTTTTCTTCTCGTATTAAAATAGAAAATATCAGTTAAAAACTTTCCTCCATCCCCAATCTGCTTTCAGGGCCCTTTCCACCATAATTTTAATTCAAAATGTCTCAAAATGTCCACAAACTGAAAGATTTTTAAAATTCATTGAAGAACCTTTCAACTTCTCCTTCCAACACCAATTCGAGAACCTCGGCTGGCACTGGTAAATATCGATTTCTCCAGGTTACGTCTCAATAACACTGAAGATTGTCAAATCAGTTTTGATTTTCAACACATCAGACAAACCTGCGAGGTTTGCATCGAATACGTGTCCCACATGCATAATTACGTGCGGTGCTTTCATGCAAAGTGCTTCTTAGATTTCATTCGCTAGCATCTCCAATTTCCTTTTCAATTCGTCTCAGAAAAAGAAGAGAAAAACATCAACATGCCCTATTTCTTTTTCCTTTTTTTTACAAAAGTGACATTTGGTGAAGAAATCAACATTTCAATGCAGAGAGATACAATGTGAACGGTCAACAAACAAAGCTTTTAGTATTGTGTGTGCAATTCTAGATGGCAAAGACAATCGACTGCGTGATAGCTGGACCTCACATTACATATACAAAGACAAGTTTTGAACTATGCAATCGTATCACTACACCAACATGTGGCAAGAAAGCAAAGTAAAACATATTTCATTCAATATTCGTCCATATGAATGCCGTCTGCTCAGAGCACTAAGGGCGTTAACTGATGTCACTTTCCCATTAAAGCCCTTCTGGAACTCAACAGAGTATATGCAATAGTAATCTTGGGCAAAAATTAAAAGTGAATTGTGAATTTAAAAAAAATGAATACAGTTTTGAATTGATTGCAGAATGGAAACGACTATGACACGATCACCTGATCAGATCACCTGATCACATTCATAAGATAGAAATGGATAACAAACGTGATATAGTAACATACAGATGTATAAACATGTAATAGTTTCAGGGGGTAGATAAAGAAGTACATTGTTTAGTACCAATACTGCAAATAACATTAAGTCACCTACAATTTATCTGTATAAACAACTTTTTGAATGGTGATTTGTCTGAAATACACCTGTACTTAAAATGTAAAAGAGTGACAATTTTGGCTCTGTTGTCCCTTTTTTAACAGGAATGTTTGAAGTGGCAAGAAGAAAATAATTGCACATCTTTAAAACTACTTGATATTTGAATGAGAATGCACAAAATTGTATGTAAAGATAAAAGTAATTTGATAAAAACGTCTATATTTTTTTATACAAACATCATTAAGAATAAATAGTTTTAAGTACTTGGCTATTAAATAGGAATACAAGATTAATCTAACTATGGTTTTACACTTTTTAAAGGTAACCTTTCCATCAAATTCTTCAAGGGGCTCTGACCAGGTTTCACAAAGGGTATTATTACTGGTACTACAACAGGAGAAAGCAGAAAAATAGATAAACATTTGTAACCATTGTTCAATTTTGTAAGTATGCATATTGAAAATTTGCTACAACAAGAAATCTTTGAACATTTGTTTTACACATTTGACATCAAGAACTGTTATAATATATAAATATACAATCAGCCAAGATAATGTACATATATGGGTATAAGCTTCACAGAAGATGCATTGGAAATTGGCAAATAAATGATACATATTCTTTCAGTACTAGCAATATACATGGTATACAAACCAAAAAGACATCATACTGTTTGTTCTTCTACTTCAAGCACAGCCATACATCTTTTTAAGTTTTATTTACACAAAAATCCTACTCTCTCAGGCAGTCTTATCTTATTTCAGTCTTAAAACCAACAACAACAAAATCTATTGCACTAGAAAAATTGCCAACCTTGAATTTTCTACTAAATAAGTAAAGTAAAAATCATTTTCCCCATGTCTTTCTTTGGTCTGTGAAATTTGGAATGGAAAGAAATGCTTGTACAACATCTAGAGTAATATTAGTTTTAATTTTTTAAATCTTAATCATACTTAGAATTGAAACCATAATTTTGGCCTCAGACAAGCTTCAAAGTTTGGTTGAGATTTAATCAATTTCATACAGGAGCTATGTCTATACATCCACTTCCCAGTAATTTTATTTAAAAAATCAATTACTAGATAAATTTGTGGAGTCAGAATCTGTTTCACTTAAAAAAAAGAAATTTCTTTTTTAAACAAATATATTATTAGAAATTTCACCTTTTTAAAAATCACTTTATTGAAAATTTGAATAATCTTGAAAGGAAATTGATCAAATGTTTGAAGAAACAAAAATCTGGACAGGCAAATCTGTTCTGTGAAAGGAGTAAATTTGTTATCATAAATGCACAAAAATATTGCACGTTTTATTTTTTAAACAAAAGCACCTAATCAATAGCGGTTTCATATACTGAAATCAATTAAATATGTTTGGATGCTCATGGTTTTGATGGTTATGGAAAGTATTACGGAGGTAGTTATATGTGGTAGGAATGCTTGCTTATAAATATGCAGGGTGTATACACATGCAGTGTAATATTAACGTTTTTAAAACGTGAGGTGAAACACACAACCGCTGTGCAAGTGAGTGGGCAACTGTGGAAACTTGTCAGACCCTTATAAACGTTAATTGATAGGTCTTAACATTAGGAATGAATGGAGCCCATCGCACTTTATACCATCCGACTGCAAACACATATTTTTGTTCATGAACGATTTAACATGTTCATAACGTCATATCTGACAAATTCCTGGTTAATTTCTTTCAGAACTGGATAGCAGTTGGATTGTATAGTGCTTATCTACTGTGAAGCGATGTTCTTTTCACATACAATGAGGTGCTCCCAGCATGCTGTGTGTGTATCCTCTACGTAGGATTTAAATAACTATGGTGAAACATAAAGTGTTGGGACTTGAAGTTACTACCATCTTGCTGTGTATCAGTGACATGGCACAGGCATAATCAAATAGATGTGAAGTGTTAGCACTTGTGGAGTTACTACCTTCTAACTGTGAATCCTCTAAACAGGTCATGCAGTATCAAATAGCAGTGATTTTTTTTTTAAAGTTCAGGAGCTATCTTGTGTGCATAAATGGCATCATCTTTTTTTGTTTAAGGGCCTTACAAATAGGCCCAATGTCAAATACAAAATAGCCACACACTGTTGGAGTTAAATAGTGGACTAAAAAGTTCAATATTGCTCTGCCAATATCACACTCTTAATCAAACTTCAGAGACCAAATTTCTGCAAATTTGGTCCTTAAAATTCTACAGAAAAAACAACCTGAGGTACAGGTTTGTGCATAGTAAAAAGAATGGGGATATTGTCTGTTTTTTTTAAAGAACATCTCCATTTAATCTTAATACTGCATTATATCCTTTAAGTAGTGCAATAAATTGTTCTGTCAGATTTCCAAAATAATCCAAAATTAGTTTTTAAGTAAATTAAAAACTGTCAAATATATCAAAACTGTTTAGAAATATATTTTCAGTTATCAAACACCTGTGGTAAATCATTATAGGAAAGAGATAATAATAAATCTATAGTTAGTACCATATATGTACACTGGGAGAAATAGGGCTTAAAAGACAAATGGCAAGTTCTTGATTTGCCACAGATTTACCAGACTAAGAGCAAAACCAAGAAAATAACTATTTTCGTGGAATCATTTCCAGAAACATGGGTTCGACCTGGTTTACACACGAGGGGATTGTTGACGGTTTAACTAAGATACAATCCTGAATGTCATCTGCCTGATAAATGTTTGCCTATTTGAAGAGATCCAGGCCGAGTTTCTCCGCAAACGGTGCTACAAAACCTTTCACGGTATCCATAAAACCTGGAGAAGAGAGGAGAAAAAGAGAATTGTTGTTTTTTCATCAAACTAGGAAAAACATATCCAGGGGTGTATATATTGTATCACAGCTTATTAGATTTGTGCCCATGATTAGTCTATAAATGGAAACTGACTAGCAAGTATTGCTTCATGCGTGTTTACATCCGTAAGTGTTTTCTGAAACGTACTCCAATAAGAGTAACAGTACATGGTCTGTTTGAAACCCCAACAGCATTAACTCATGATGTAGTTAAAACAGCGTTTACGCTTTATGGTTCCATGGGGGGAAAACTGCATTTTCTTATAAACAGGGACAGTTAGATGGAGACAGAGAAATAGACAGACGCACAGACAGGCAGAATGGGAGAGAAACATAATAGGCATACAGAAAGAATAAGAAAGAGAGCAAGAGAAGAGAGAGAGAAGAGAGAAACACAGAACAAGAGAGGGAGAGATGGAGGGGAGAGTAGGAAGGGCAAGAAGGAGAGAAACAGAGCAAATGAGAGGAGAGAGAGAGAAAGAGAGAGACATTCAACATGAATCTTTTAATTAGAATCATAAAGCCAGTAAAAAGTATACAGAGAGATCAAATCTGGCAGAGTGTAGATGAAACTTCTGGTTCAAGACTGATTTTTTTTTAATGTTAATACCACTTTTATCTCTCTTTTATATCTATTTTGAAGATACATGTAGATATAAAAAAAGGAAGAAACTTATTGGAGAGAGAGAGAGGGGGGATAGAGAGAGGCAGAGAGAGAGAGAGAGACAGAGAGAGGGAGAGAAATAGAAATAGAAAGAGAAAGAGAGAGAGAGAGAGAGAGAGAGGGAGAGAAATAGAAATAGAAATAGAAAGAGAAAGAGAGAGAGAGAGAGAGAGAGAGGGAGAGAAATAGAAAGAGAGAGAGAGAGAGAGAAAGAGAAAGAGAGAGAGAGGGGGAGAGAAATAGAAATAGAAAGAGAAAGAGAGAGAGAGAGAAATAGAAAGAGAAAGAGAGAGAGAGAGAGGGAGAGAAATAGAAATAGAAAGAGAAAGAGAGAGAGAGAGAGGGAGAGAAATAGAAATAGAAATAGAAAGAGAAAGAGAGAGAGAGAGAGAGAGGGAGAGAAATAGAAATAGAAAGAGAAAGAGAGAGAGAGAGAAATAGAAAGAGAAAGAGAAAGAGAGGGAGAGAGAGGGAGAGAAATAGAAATAGAAAGAGAGAGAGAGGGAGAGAAATAGAAATAGAAAGAGAGAGATAGAGAGAGGGGAAAGTAAAAGGTAAAATAGAGGAGAAAGACAGAGCAGAACGACAGAGAGGAAGAGATAGTAAATGAGGGGGGGGGGGGAAGACAGATGAAAGAAAAGAAGAAAGAGACCCACCTTCTTCCTCATCATCCTGTTGTTGTAACGCTTGCTGCATCTCGGCAGGTGTCTTCTTTTTTCTCGTGATACGGCCCGCATCATCTGGCTCCGGAAGCATTCCTGGCTCCTCTGCGACTTTCTTCTTTAGTCCATACTGAATGCAGGCACAAAGGGATCAATTCAAACATACATTATTCTGTCTATGGTACATTACATTTTCTATTTTTAAAACATGTAAATACCTACAGTGAACACTATTCTCAGACAGTCTAATAGTTCACTTTAATATAGATGAAATCTTATAGGGGAATTCATGCCTAGCATATACTAGCATTTTTAAATATTTTCTTTGATACATGAAGAACATACATGTACACTACTACCAATTGTTCACATAAAGGGACAGAAATTAAAGCAGTCTTTAACAAAAACAATGTAAGTAAAGAAACCTACAATGTTCTCAAACAAACAGTTTAAGCTTTTCTTTAGCACTATTTTTAGATGTAAAATGCTTTGAATTACATACCTGTACATCTACTTCATAAATGATAAGAACAAGTAGTACAAGGTATCAATAATTTTTAATCCATTTATGTTGCAGTATATTATGTTGCTGAACATTTAACTATAAACAAAAGCATACCTCAAAATCTTCAAATTGACAACATATTATGGAATTGATTTACCACTCTTTCACCAAAAATTTTGGCAATTTTTATAGAGCATTTTGTAATTTTCATTCACACAGGATAGTTCATTTCATATTCTATTTTGTCCTATTAAAGAATATAGGAGGATAGAAAACTAAATTCAGACCTAGGTAAAAATGCTGTAAAAATCCACGGTCTAACTCTGCTTTGTAACCCTGAAGTCGAATCAGTTCATATCTAACACGGATCACATGCCCTAATTGCATCACAAGAAATCGACACCAGCCTTTGACCTTTTAACCAAAATATTTAATCAATTTTACAGTAGGCCCGTTCACACTTAACAATTAGTGCGATTCGGATCGCGATACAAAGATCAACAAAAAAATTGCAACCGTTCACACGTGTCAATTTAGTGCGAATTGGATCATGATGCAATGATTGATTTTTTGGGGCGACCATTTACACACGGAGGATTCCTGCTCGATGGCCAGAACATCCGAACTATCACAAACTATCACGATTATTCTGAAAAATTGCAAGACTTACTGCGAATTGGACCGCGATGCGAATTGCAAAGATTAGTGAAATTATTCTGTCCACACACGCACAAAAAACGATTTTTGGATCGTTGTGCAAAAAAATCTATTTTCTAATCTCTGTAGGTGTGAACGCTCTTAGAACCTACTGATTGAATCAAAAAGACCAGCTTAAATGTCATCAAGATTCAGTTGTTGCAGGACATTACACTGTCAAAGAGCTTTTCAAATTAAAGAAAACAGCACGTAAATCATGAAAATCTCATTAAATTTTGATATTGAGCATGCCAGACTCATACAAATAGTTTCAATTTGAAGGAAATGTGGGTTAATTCAGACTTTTGGGCCATTCTGTACTTCCATGGACTTCTCTACATTGTCAAGTGAAATAAGTTCATATCTAACTAGGACCATGAGCCTTAATTGCATCTAGAAATTATCGATCAGTATCAAATGACCTTCTGACAAAAATCCTGTAATCTGATTTCAAATGACAAGCTTAAATGTCATCAAGATATCATTCAAATCCAAAAATCAAACATGAAGTATATAAATACAGAGATATCAGTAGGTTTTCTCCAAGTAGTTTGAAAAGAGACTCGTGAATGTTGAAGCCTGTATTTTGTTTACAACTAAAAGCCTAAAATAGTGGGATGAAACTAATTAGCAGTAGCCTTAAAAATGGCAACCATGTTTACGAGTAATTTTACTAGTACATATAAGATTTGTACTGTTGGTTTTAATCACTCTCCTTCCATGAATTGATCAATTACAAGTGAGTCATGATGAAATTTACAAGGTTTCATGGATTTTTTTTTTTAATGCTTCATACACCCATTAAAAATTCACAGTAGAGATTTATGAGGGCTGTCAAATGAAAGTCACGTCTAGTCATGTTTCATAAACATGATACAGTGATCGCCAGTTTGGAGCCAGAAGGGCGTTAACGATGTGTTAAAGTATATTAGTTTAATGAGTTGACGCCCTTCTGTCTTCAAACATGTAAAGGGTAGAGAGCAAGATGTGTGACCCAAAATGGAAAAATAGAGTCTAGACGTTCTCAAGAAATATAAAGGCTTTATACAAACACAGGCAATTTTTTTCTCTCTATGTTTAAAAAAGGAAATGAAAAGTGAAGACAAACAAAAGAAAATTATCTTTGAGATACTAGAACAGTTATGTTCATTTTTATTGCATTTTTGATTACTACATGGGTCTTAGAACTTAAAGTACATTCTATATACATTCTATCAGATTATGTGAAATATCACCCACTCTTATTTCAACTGAAATGAGCGCTTGTGATTTTTAAAATGTATACCGGTGATGACTAAAAAAAATATTTAAAACTCTGAGGCTTGGAAATTTTTAAGTGGGGGGGGGGGGGGGGACAAACACATTTATAATCAAAGGTCTAAACTTGATGTTAACTGGAATTTTCTCCTGAATTTATTTCATCAAAGATATAGGGTTCGTTTAGGGTTGTACAGTGTACGCATAATAGGGTGTTAGGTGAAGGGGTGGTGTTAGGTTAAGTTGAGATAGGTGTAGGGGTAGGGCTAGTGTTTGGTCCATGGAATAATTAGGAATTTAGTTAGTGTAGGACAGTGACCATGGGGTTTATGTATTAAAAACACACACAGGTAACACCAGTTTGTTTGTTTGTTCATTTGTTTTTGTTTTCTCTCTCTCTCTCTCTCTCTCTCTCTCTATCTCAACCCCCCTCTCTCTCTATCTCTCTCTATCTCTCTCTCTCTCTATCTCTCTATCTCTCTCTTTCTCTCTCTATCTCTCTTGGGGGGGGGGCAACTATCTTCTCCTTTCCCCTGAATGGCACCCCCTTGCCTATTTACATATTTATCTTGGGTGGATCACGAGGAAGGGGAGGGGGGGGTACTTGAATTAAAACACACCTTTTCTCGTATCCTCTGCCTCTCCACCTCCCTCTCTGCCTCCATCTTTGCATGTCTAGCTTTCCTCTCCTCCTCCTGCTGCTGTCTCGCCTCTTCGATGAGAGCGGCCTCCTCGTCATCCTTACCGTCCCCTTCTCCGTCCCCTCCGCCCAAGTTTCCGAGCTCACCTGGCAAGAATGAATAAGATTGAATTGTAAGATCGATTACTTTGAATTGAATTTGAATTTGAATTTATTAACATAACACAATGTTACAAATGTATTCCAGTGGGTAACAAAATAACAACAATTACAGTTGATGTTGTATACATATCCATGTACATAATTTACAAAGAGAAAGAAAATATCCATAGTTGAACCATATGTACAAATTTAATTAATCATATATCATGTCATATCGAACCTGTGAATAAGCCATAACATGATAATACGTAGAGATTTGGTTGGATTCCTCAAAGATACATAAAAGTGTAGTTAGAATTGAAATTCACAGAGTTTCAATAGTGTTTAAGTGATTCAAATAAAGGATATTTTAAACTTAAAAACTTAAAATGTGGTTACAGGGAGAACCAAAAGTTAGCTAGTCTGGATTGGTTCTCTGAGTTTCTAAAACTGTATGCAAAGTCATATTAAAGTATACGTATTCACACTCCACATTATTTCACAACTTTGCTCTAATGAAAGAAATTGAAAAAGTCTCATGTGTTATACTACATTTAGGTGTTTTGTTCCAGAACTAAAAATGTCTGTCTGGAGCCAGAGGGGTTTCAACTCAAATAATTTTAAACACAGCATGCCAGGTATGAATACAAACTCTGAATAAAAGAACAAACTATGGCAAGATTTTAAAAGTAGTATCTATTTCTTAATATATTGTTGTTAATAATCCAGGTACAAAGAAAAAAGTAATCAAATTAAGTCTGGTAGTTATTAAAATATACTCCAATCGTTAAAAAGCAAGAAAACCAGTATCTTTCATTTGCCACCTCCACTGATAATGATTCTTTAGTTACAAGTTTATAACCACCCAAGGAAATAAACAGGATTTTCAAATGTCCTGGTTTCATGTGAACCACAAGAAAAACAAAACCCTGAACAGCGACATGTTTTCCTGCGATCGCTGTTCACAGAATAAATCTGCAGTGCCTTCTTGTTTTTTGATCGTCTAATCATGATTACTCTTTTAAAAAAAATTGTTATTATCTTCTGGATTATTATTCCAGGTAAACTCGAAAAAATGAAGTTCATTGTATTTAATTCTCTTTCATATTTACATGGGGAAGATACAAATGCAACAAAATGCTACGTTTTCTTCATCAATACTTAATTTAGAAGGAATCTATAATATACAAGCACTGCTTTTGATGTTCCTCACATTCTTCTTAATCTATTATATGAATTGAGAATCATTCAGATGTGCTCATTTATACTACATGTATTGTATAATTTTTATTCTATGTATAATTGTCTATATTTTTTGTAAAATGGGGAACAAATAAAACTTGAAACTTGAAAATGTCAATTTTAGGTTCTTGTAATGGACAGCATCTTGAGGAGAACTGCCTTAAATCAATTCTACATTGTCCTTCTGCAAATTGTGCACAGCAAAACATAGACAAGCTAGCAAACCTCTCTGAAAGTCATATTTACTCAAAAGCCCTACCTACACGTATGCATAATGATATGACAACAAGTTTGAGTACTTGACACACAAAACTGACGACTGGTTTGCAATTTCCTTTTATTTCCTTCACACATTACTCAGCTAATACACATTTTCAAACAAAACCATTAGGCAAATATCATCCATAGAAGTTGTGAAGATTAACATGTAAATTTGGTTTAAATCTGTGAAATTCTATTGTCTGCCATTTAATAGAACTCAAAAGTTTACCTTTAAGGGCAATTATTCTAACTATCTACACAAGGTATTTAACAATAAGTGACAAAAATAGGGTATGTGGGTGTGCTGTTATCTATCTCTTTATTTCCCCCCAATAACGTTGGAAATGGATATCATCATCCCTCCAGTAAAGTTAGAAATTGTGAAATTCTATCAGTGTTTTCACTTGGGCTACACGAGCATGACCTTTAAAATTGGCTCTCTGCCAAGCAATATTGCACCGGCCACCTTCCAGTAGGTGATAGCCATAAAAGGCAAGAGATGAACGAAGAAAGGCAAGAAAGGAAAGAAAGGCAGAGAAAGTTGAGAGAACCAAGACAGTATTGAATGTACACCCCAAAAAATTTGATAAAAGGGATAAATTAGTCTCAGATTTAGTCTGAGAGTTGACAAGCAGAAAGGGGGAGCTAGTAGACACAGAAAGAGAGAGATGGAGAGGAAGAGAGGGGATGAGAGGGGAAGAGAGGGGAAGAGGAGAGAGAAGAGGAGAAGAGGAGAGGAGGAGAGGGGAGAGAAGAGGAGAAGAGGAGAGGAGGAGAGGGGAGAGAAGAAGAGGGGAGAGAAGTAGAGGAGAGAGGGATTGAGAGAGAGGAGGGGAATAGAGAGAGATGGAGAGGAATAGAGAGGAAGAGGAGAGGGGAGAAGGGGAGAGGAGGAGAGGTGAGAGGGGAGAGGAGAGGGGGAAGGAGTAGAAGGGAGAGGGGTGGAGAGAGAGGAGAGGAGGAGAGGGGAGAGGAGGAGAGGGGAGAGGGATGGAGAGGTGGAGAGGGGAGAGGGGTAGAGAGAGGGGAGAGGGGTGGAGAGAGAGAAGAGAGAGAAAACTGGAGACAGAGACAGAGAGATACAAAGGTACATGCTCAATGATAGAAAACAAGTCAATGAGCAACAAAAAAAACAGTAAAAAGGGGTTTTGACGATATACTTGAAGGTTGGAAACAGGGTGAAGTTAGATGGAGGGATGACAGAATATACAGAGTAGGTGGCTTCATAGTATGTAAAAATATATTGGATGTTTGCTTGATGTGGAATAAAGTAAAACACAAACCTACAGAGGGAGAGAGGGAACGAGGGCAATTAAGAGAGATATACAGAAAAATATATACAGAGAAATATATAGAGAGAGAGATAGAGAGAGACAGAGACAGAGGGGGAGAGATATAGAGACAGAGAGAGACAGAGAGAGAGAGAGAGATGGGAGAAAGTGTTAGGGAGCAGAGGTAGATACCTAGGGAATGAGAGAGATGGAGAGGGGAATGGCGAGAAAGAAAGCAGAGAGATAGAGAATGAGAAAAGAAAGGGGAGAGAGAAAAAGAGAAAGATAGAGGAAAAAGCTACCCGAGGAAAAACAAAATCAGGGAGCAGGCAATTTGTTGACAAACGATACAAATTTAAAAAACAGTTGTCACATGTTATTGCCTATGGGCAATACTCCGAAACAGTTAAAGCTGCAAATTGTCCAATTACACCTGACTACCCACTCAAGAAAAAACACCCACCTATTTCATAGCATAGTGAATATGGGTTTTGTTACACAACCAAACTCTTCTCTCTTCAAAGAGATGGAAGATAATAACAATAATAATGGAACAATAATAATGAAGAAAACATATATATGGTAGATAATTACATAAATAAAAGAGCACACTTCAGATTGATTGAGAGAGAGGGAGAGAGGGAGAGAAAGAGAGAGAGAGAGAGAGAGAGAGAGAGAGAGGGGGGAATAGAGATAAGAGGAAGAGAGTGAAAGGTAGAGATAAGAGAGAAAGAAATAAAGAAAGAAAGAAAGAAAGAAAGAAGAGGAGGAAAGGGAAGAGAGAGAGAGAAAAAAAACAGGGGTGCGTGTAGTGATGATGGTTGAGTAGGAAAAAAAAGAATGAGAGACCACAGGTAGATGAGAAGGTTGCCACATAAGTTAGGCCCTAGAGTTGATAAAAGGGACAGAGGATGAGACAAACATGTAGAAGAGAAACAGATAGTGAGAGAGATAGCTAAAGAAATGGGATGGAAAGTGAGTGGTTATAGAAGCATCTTATGGCTTGCCAATCACAACAAAGCTCTTCATAAACCTTTTCCATTAATGTATTTATTATAGCATCAAGATAAATCCTTATGTAACAATATTCACACTTGAGCTGCATGGGCTGCAAGTCTTCACCAGCGCCAGAAGCATCACAACATGACGCACATGTGCGCTATACAAGAAGCCAACATTATTATTATGATTATCATTATGAGCGTAGTTCTTGATAATCATGTTTTGGCAAAAGGGATGATGATACAAATAGAAACTTTTGAAGAAGTATTACCACAAAACTCAAAATTCCTTCGTTAAAGGTGGTATTTCCATTTCCATAGAATTGGCGAAATTAAATGCAGATGTTCCATATTATTCCCAAATTATCAAGAATTTTCAACATATCTGAAGAATTGTACAATGCAAGAATTTCTGCAATTCTCTCATATCTTGTATGCATGGCGCATTTATGAATATGAGTGCTTTTTGTCCTCTGGTATACGCATACACATATGATATACATTGTACGTTTTTACTATTCACCATACAGTCAGCATGCCAATATACATCACAGTATATTTGTTTTAATTCACCCAATATTGACAGCCCCATGTTAAGTTGTTTGCATAAAAAAGGACTGCCACTCCTATTTCCATAACCAATTTTCATCCCATCCCCTCCCCCATCCCCTCCCCCACCCCCTCCCCCCCCCCCCCTCCCCTTTCAAATCAATGCTCTGTAACATTTTTCCATTAAGTAAATCAAATTAATTGATCTCATTTACTATGTCAAGTACGGGCACAGGTGTTAACACCATGTAAGAGCTTAAAAGGATTATGCGAGGCTTATTAAGCACTCGACGTCGCACCTGTGACGGTGAAATTGATTTATTTGTCGAGAAAAAGCCAATATCCATGGCAGTTGCATATTATTACAAGCTAGCACACTCAAGTGTGCAATTTGTGTCACTCATGGCATAAATTAGTGCATGTATATGTATGCAAAGACTGTATGATTTGGCAGATGATAGAAATAGCTTCATCACAATGTTTTAAAATTAAATTACTTATTTCAGGTACATATGAACCCTTTGACAAATATTATTGAATACTAAAATTGGGAAATTCTTTACAAGTGCAAGATATCAAGAAATGCAGAAGGTGTCTTGTGTGATTTAGGTATGATGTACAATGTATGATACCATCTGTTCGGAGCTAAAAGGGCATTAACTCATAAAGGTCTATCCAAACACACAGAGTTACTGCCCTTCTGGCTCCAAACAGATGATATATGTCAATATTTTTTGTGTGGAAATTATAGGGATAATAATTCTTTTTCTATCGTAACTGTCTGTACATATTGAGGTGCAAAAATAATGTCATGCCTATAATGGTGAGCTAATTATTACATGTACATGTAGCATGATGCAAGATGAAGTGCTTTGCAGTCATCGTCTATATATGCAATGAAGAATAAAATGAGATTACATAAAGTTGTATCTTAGGCCTTGTTCAGACACGATGCAGCAAAACCAATGCAGTTTTTTTTTATGATGATGTAAAGGGTAGTTTTAGTGTATCTTATAACAGATAGTTCACTGAATACCGGTACGCCCGATACCTTTGTTGAGCGCAGTTGCCATTCATATAAATACACATAAAAATATGCTGATTTTTTTTTTTTTTTTTTTTTTTTTTGGGGGGGGGGGGGGGTGCGGTTAATAACATATCATGAAGACATGTGACCATGGAAGAGACCTTTGACCCTTGCCAATGTGCCCCTACAATACAATCATTTCATCAATAATGTATCATCACTATATATAATGCTCATACTCAGCATGCATGTACATGGTCATTCACCCTTTCATCAATAGATTCACAATAGGTACATGATCTCATCATTGTTTCACTTTCCCCATACGCACACATGTCAGTAATTAGAAGCCATCTATGATGAAAGAGCTAGAGTGTATTAGATGCAAGCCCCATCAATTTGATTAATGTGACTCATCAAATCTAGACCTTGTACGCGTCTCGTCTTCTCTCGTCTCCTCTCGTTTCGTCTCCTGATACATGTTATTATGCTCTAGCTAGTCTGCAATATCAGACATTTGCTAAGCTCTATCTTTTAGTTAATGAGTTTCTACATGTAGTTTCACTTTCTGAGTTTCTATAAAATGATTAATGATTTCATGAGCCCTGAAAGGTGAACATGTACCTGTTAGATATTCATGAAAATATTAGCCATTAGTCCATGTACAAAACTCCCCTTTATACTTATTATTATGTTCTCGTCTACAATACCAGACCTTTTCTTTAATCTGTCCTTTTTTAGTGAGTATTTTTAACATTCCAATTATCCATTTATTTTCATGAGAGCTCAAAAGCAGATATGTACACTTTAGAAAGCTGTCAGTTAAAAAAAATTGGCCAACAGGATGGCAATAATATACAAATGCGACCAACTTTGGGCAATTTTTACTTTTTCAAATAACTACTATGAATTTTTCCCTACAAATTGAGCGAAAATCCCCAAAAGTTTGGCACAACTATAAACTGTCTTTGTCTAAAGGTTACTTGGAAACATGATTGTTTCCTCATGGACAGACTGTAGTGTATTTGTCTGGCTAAATGTCAATTTTTAAGAATGTTTACAATGTTTCTCTCGAAAGTACACTAAAAAATTACTCCAGCCCACATATCCAGTAATTTCCTGTCTGCATCACTCAATTATTGAGGCCTACAATGTAATACCTGGTATAATTTAACCATTTATTTTTGAGAATGTTTACAATGTTTCTCTCGAAAGTATACTAAAGAATTACTCCAGCCCACATGTTCAGTAATTTCCTGTCTGCATCTCTCAATTATTGAGGCGTAAATACCTGGTATAATTCAACCATTTTATACTAAACTGCTCTGGCGTGTTACAAACAAATGACCATAGTCCCACATATTAGAAATTGCATCGGAAACCACCATCTTAACCACAACTCATTATAGTTTCTATCACAAGGAGCTCATGCATTCAAAACAGATTCATCACTTCACTTATTTGCAAAATAGGACCTTAAGGAGAACGTACAGTTCTGGTACAGGTGAAAAAATAATTTGCGAGCTTCCTATATCATTTTGATGTCACATGAAAATAATCTCTCTTGAAATGCCCTTAATGCCCTTTATACTCCAATATACTTAGAAGTAGCTTCGCACTTTAGACCATATTATTGTATTGTAAAGGTGTGTGTATAGTCCCATATACTCATAGGCCTATTTTAATATGTGCTTTTCACTGAATATGATTTTCAGCTGGATTTAGTTCATTTGTTCTCATTTTGACAATTTCTAAAACCTTACAGTGCACAATTATTTACTTCTTATCAACTTTTCCTGATAACTTTTGGATAGTTTCTTTCAAAATAAACAAAAACTAAAAAATGTAAAAACTTTTTTTTTTCTTTAAAGAAAGATCTTGGCATGAGGGTATTGACACAATTAAATTCAATTTTAGTGAGGAATTACTTGTAAATCTGTTTAAGCCTACTTCCAACAGTCACTTTAATCTTTAACAACAGATCTAGTTTTCGGTGTTATACTTGCTAAATCTCCTTACACAGAAACAGTTTTCGATGCCTGTTCAGTGTCTGTCCCTGCATAATACCCCCAAATATGTACAAAGCAATTTTTCTTTTCCATTTTTTTTCTTCTTTTTTTTGGGGGGAGGGGGAATTCGTTCTGATTCAGGGTAGATGGTGAGAGGGGGAGAGGGAGGGGGGGGGGGTCATTACACAATGCTAATGCAGCCACATTCTGCTTACATTTATGTCCATGAGTGAATGTCAAGATAGTTAAATAGGTACTGTAAAATAACCCTTATGGAATAGCAATCAACTTCACTGTAAAACTGGATGTCCAAAGAGTTAATATCCCTCATATAGATTTACAGCATCCAGCTGGCTCTGGAAGCAGATGGTCCATCAACCAACCTTCCTTGTCTTCATCCTTTCACTATATATAATCCCTTTCTCTGCATCCCATATTTGGATTAAAATCACAAAAGACTCTTAACCAAACACACAAAACAGAAGCCATGGCGGTATGTTAATCATTATTACATAACACCAATCCATAATCCAATGCAATTAGTCAAAGATCCCTATACCATCCCTTCCCCTTTACAAGTATGCCTCTATGAGCGCATATTTAATGAAAGTGGTTGGACGAAATGCTACATGCATAAGTCTATGGCACAGAGAGTGAGTATATGCAGGAGGGATGCGATCATGGAACAATATGATGCGATCAATACCCTATAAGCACTGGTACGGGACGACTTGCTCTAGGTAATTACGTCTGAAAGCTAGCAGAGCATAGAGCCCTGGCTATACTCCATTGGCATGCTAGTCTAAAAAAACAGACACGGTCATGGATGCATGGTGCAATTTGTTCCAACCAGTATACTTTATTAGTAATATTTTATTTTATTTAGTTGCTTCTAAGCTATTGAACAGGTTGAATAATTAGACTGAGTTAGACAGTTCCACCTGTGCGCTTAGAAACGCCTTATAAAGCGCCCTATAAATGTAATATTATCATCATTATAAACTGTACATGTACATGTACATGTATAATATAGGCATCTTGCAGATTAAAAGGGTGTAGTATGTTGCTCAATTTATTTTGAAAGATAATCATTAGATGAGATGTACATTTTTTTTAATGTATAATAATTGCAAGTAAAAGCAGAGTAATCACAGTAACAGCTACCATTGAGTAGGTTTGGAGTAGTTTTGGCATGTTTTGAAATAGACAGCAACAGTCGATCATAACATATTGACTTCCTGGTGGTACAAGACCAATAATTTCTACATCTGATTTGAAAATTAAATATTGACTATTGTTTCTTTCACGGAAGAGGTTTACGGTACACCATGTGTAAAGTCCTCGAGGGACTGAGGAAAGTGGATAGAAAATAGAAGTGAGATGGAAAGGCGAGAAAGTGGAGGTTGGAAGGAAGAGTATCTTTCGGAAGTGAGTATAGTCCTGAAAAGGACTGTAAACCAGAAAGTTGTAGGAGGGATGAGAGGTTTGAGTAGAAGACTGGATTGAGTTGGAGAGTTGAGTAGACGAGTAGAGTTGCAGAGCAGGAGTAGGAGAGTAGACTCGACGTTTCGGACAGGTTGACTGTCCGTCTTCAGGAGTGAGTGTTCGCTAGGCGTGCGGCGGTTCTTATGGCGTGGATGCGGACTTGGGGGAAAGCACTGGGCCGGCGGGCTCGGCAGGTTGGCAGGCAGCTGTCGGTGGTGGCGCGCGGTTGTGTGAATTGGCGGGAAACGAGTGGGCGGCGGTTATGCGGACGTCGTGTGGTGGGTGTCGGCGGGGTAGCGGGGGGGTTGTGTCGGTCGTTGAGTGGGTGTATCGATCGGCGGTGAGGATGGCTATTAGTGGTGTCGGTCTGTGTGTGTTGGTCGGCGGTTTCGGCGTTGGCGTAGGTTGTAGCGAGGTGTGGGCGTGGGCGGTGCTTGTGTGGGTGAAGTGGCTAGTTGAGAACGTGTAGTGCTTGATTGAGTGGGTGTGGTTGGGTGGTTGTAGGTGGTGTCCGGGCTAACGGATGGATGGATTGGTGAAGTGTTGGTGGTTGGCGTGTTGGTTGTGGAGTTGGTTGAAGATTGGTCGGAAGTAGGATGGTGAGGGAGGATTGGGTGCCAGATACTGTTGATGTGAAGGCCTGGGTCTTGGGGTACGGTGTTGTGTTGGTGGATCTCGATGGCTTCTCGGACTCTTCGGGTGTGCCAATGTCGGATGGGGGTGATGAGGTGACTTTTATCCCAGTGAATGTGGTGGAGCTCTTGTTGTGCGTGCTTGACGATGGCTGACTTGTCCCAGTCGCTGCGTCGGTGGTGGGTCTTGTGTTCTTTTAGTCGGGTGTCGAAATCGCGGCCGGTTTCTCCAATGTAGACTTTGCCGCAATCGCAGGGAATCTTGTAGACGCCTGGTTGTTTGTTGGATGGGTGCTTGTCCTTGTGAGAGTGAAGAGTGGAGTAAAGCTTGTGGTTGGATTGGTGTCTGACGAGGATGTTGGCTGAGCGGAGGATGCGTTGTAGTCGGTGTGATGTCTTGCCGATGTAGGGAAGTACGATGGTGGCGGTGGGCTTAGTATCAGGTTGGGTTCCGGTGGTGCTGGTCTTGTGGTAGGGAGCTCGGGTGTTGATTTTCCTTCTTGGGTACTGGTTGATGGAAGTAAGTGCGTGCGTGATGTGCTTGAGTTCTTGCTGGAGATGTGCTTTATCACTAAGTTGGTGGGCTCGTCTGATGAGTGAGTTGGAGACTGATTGGTGGACTGATGGATGGTGGTGAGATCGGAAGTTGAGGTAGCGGTCTGTGTGGGTTGGTTTCCGGTATATTTGGTGCGAGGGGAATCCTGATGGTGTCTTAGTGATGAGTACGTCTAGGAAAGGGATTGAGTTGTCGTGTTCGGTCTCCATGGTGAACTTAATGCTGGGGTGTTGGTTGTTGATGTGGTCGAGGAAATGGTGGAGGTCTGGTGTGCTGTGTGGCCAGATGACGAAGGTGTCGTCGACGTAGCGTAGCCATAGTGAAGGAGACTTGTCGGCGGACTTGAGTGCTTGGTGCTCGAAGTGTTCCATGAAGATGTTGGCGATGATTGGTGAGAGTGGAGATCCCATGGCTGCTCCTTGAAGTTGTTTATAGAAGTTGCTGCGCCACTTGAAAGAGTTGGAGTGGAGGCAGGTGAGAAGGAGGTCGTGGATCTGGTCAGGTGTGAGCTTGGTCCTAGATTCGAGGTCTGGGTCTGAGATGAGGCGTTGTTTGATGATGTCGCATGCTTGGTCTACAGGAACGTTGGTAAATAGAGAGGTGACATCGAAGCTGACGAGTGTGTCGGATGGCTGGATCTTGGTTTTGGAGAGGATGTCGATGAAGTGCTTAGAGTTCGTGACGTGGTGCTGCGTTTGGCCTACGAGTGGTTGTAGAATATTGGCGAGATGACGTGCAGTGTTGTAGCAGGATGATCCTCGGGTAGAGATGATAGGGCGGAGAGGGATAAGCGGCTTATGAATCTTGGGCTGTCCGAAGAGGATGGGTGACTTAGCTGACGAGGATCTGAGTTGAAAGTAGAGTGCCTTGGGTAGTATGTCGGATCTGTGTAGGGTTAAAAGTTGTTGGTTGATCTTCCTTTCGTTGGCCGGGGTTGGGTCCCTCTTGAGTTTGGAGTAGGTTTCCTTATCTTTGAGTAGGTCGCAGATCTTATCTTCGTATGTATCTTGGTCCATGACGACGGTGGCGTTTCCCTTGTCTGCTTGTAGGATGTGGATGGATTGGTTCTTGCGGAGGTCTTGAATAGCGGATCGTTCTTCTTTAGATAGGTTGGGTTTGGGTGGCTTAGCTTCGGCGAGAGCGTTGGTAATTTTGAGTCGGATGTCGTTAGCAGCAGCTTTGGAGAGGAAACGGAGCTTGGGTTCTACTTGTTGCACGATGTTGGAGAATGGTATCTTCTTGGGGGCTACGGCGAAGTTGAGTCCTAGGGATAGAACCTTGTGTTCGGCTTGGGAGAGTCTGTGTTGACTGAGGTTGACTACTGTGTCCTTAATGGGTTGAGTCGTTGGAGGGTCGTTGGTGCAGATGCGCTTGCGTGAACGTAATTGGTCGAACTTCCTAATTTGCTTGAGTTTGGTGGTCTGAAAGGCGAGTTGGGCGGTGTGGTCGTTGAAGGACTGTACTTTGCTGAGGTCATCAGGATTGAGTTGTTGGTTGATCTTGGACTGAGAAGCAGAGGTAGCGGTGTTGAGATCGTGGAGTTGGTGGCGTGTGTGTACGATGCGTTCTCGGGTAAGGTCAATACCGGCTTGGTGTAGTATGCGCTGGGCTTTGGGGGTGTCAACGGCGGATTTGAGTTGAAGGCCTAGAGGGATGGTGTCGGAGTCGCGGCAGCGTTTGAGGAAGGTTAGGTGGTTGGTGAGCTTGGCTGTCTTAACTAGGTCGCGCTGGAGTTGTCTGACGCTGAGTTGAGTAGGCTCCCCGTAGAGCTGAATCAGATGATGTTTGAAGGTTTGCATGGTGGTATGAATAATCACGGAAGAGGTTTACGGTACACCATGTGTAAAGTCCTCGAGGGACTGAGGAAAGTGGATAGAAAATAGAAGTGAGATGGAAAGGCGAGAAAGTGGAGGTTGGAAGGAAGAGTATCTTTCGGAAGTGAGTATAGTCCTGAAAAGGACTGTAAACCAGAAAGTTGTAGGAGGGATGAGAGGTTTGAGTAGAAGACTGGATTGAGTTGGAGAGTTGAGTAGACGAGTAGAGTTGCAGAGCAGGAGTAGGAGAGTAGACTCGACGTTTCGGACAGGTTGACTGTCCGTCTTCAGGAGTGAGTGTTCGCTAGGCGTGCGGCGGTTCTTATGGCGTGGATGCGGACTTGGGGGAAAGCACTGGGCCGGCGGGCTCGGCAGGTTGGCAGGCAGCTGTCGGTGGTGGCGCGCGGTTGTGTGAATTGGCGGGAAACGAGTGGGCGGCGGTTATGCGGACGTCGTGTGGTGGGTGTCGGCGGGGTAGCGGGGGGGTTGTGTCGGTCGTTGAGTGGGTGTATCGATCGGCGGTGAGGATGGCTATTAGTGGTGTCGGTCTGTGTGTGTTGGTCGGCGGTTTCGGCGTTGGCGTAGGTTGTAGCGAGGTGTGGGCGTGGGCGGTGCTTGTGTGGGTGAAGTGGCTAGTTGAGAACGTGTAGTGCTTGATTGAGTGGGTGTGGTTGGGTGGTTGTAGGTGGTGTCCGGGCTAACGGATGGATGGATTGGTGAAGTGTTGGTGGTTGGCGTGTTGGTTGTGGAGTTGGTTGAAGATTGGTCGGAAGTAGGATGGTGAGGGAGGATTGGGTGCCAGATACTGTTGATGTGAAGGCCTGGGTCTTGGGGTACGGTGTTGTGTTGGTGGATCTCGATGGCTTCTCGGACTCTTCGGGTGTGCCAATGTCGGATGGGGGTGATGAGGTGACTTTTATCCCAGTGAATGTGGTGGAGCTCTTGTTGTGCGTGCTTGACGATGGCTGACTTGTCCCAGTCGCTGCGTCGGTGGTGGGTCTTGTGTTCTTTTAGTCGGGTGTCGAAATCGCGGCCGGTTTCTCCAATGTAGACTTTGCCGCAATCGCAGGGAATCTTGTAGACGCCTGGTTGTTTGTTGGATGGGTGCTTGTCCTTGTGAGAGTGAAGAGTGGAGTAAAGCTTGTGGTTGGATTGGTGTCTGACGAGGATGTTGGCTGAGCGGAGGATGCGTTGTAGTCGGTGTGATGTCTTGCCGATGTAGGGAAGTACGATGGTGGCGGTGGGCTTAGTATCAGGTTGGGTTCCGGTGGTGCTGGTCTTGTGGTAGGGAGCTCGGGTGTTGATTTTCCTTCTTGGGTACTGGTTGATGGAAGTAAGTGCGTGCGTGATGTGCTTGAGTTCTTGCTGGAGATGTGCTTTATCACTAAGTTGGTGGGCTCGTCTGATGAGTGAGTTGGAGACTGATTGGTGGACTGATGGATGGTGGTGAGATCGGAAGTTGAGGTAGCGGTCTGTGTGGGTTGGTTTCCGGTATATTTGGTGCGAGGGGAATCCTGATGGTGTCTTAGTGATGAGTACGTCTAGGAAAGGGATTGAGTTGTCGTGTTCGGTCTCCATGGTGAACTTAATGCTGGGGTGTTGGTTGTTGATGTGGTCGAGGAAATGGTGGAGGTCTGGTGTGCTGTGTGGCCAGATGACGAAGGTGTCGTCGACGTAGCGTAGCCATAGTGAAGGAGACTTGTCGGCGGACTTGAGTGCTTGGTGCTCGAAGTGTTCCATGAAGATGTTGGCGATGATTGGTGAGAGTGGAGATCCCATGGCTGCTCCTTGAAGTTGTTTATAGAAGTTGCTGCGCCACTTGAAAGAGTTGGAGTGGAGGCAGGTGAGAAGGAGGTCGTGGATCTGGTCAGGTGTGAGCTTGGTCCTAGATTCGAGGTCTGGGTCTGAGATGAGGCGTTGTTTGATGATGTCGCATGCTTGGTCTACAGGAACGTTGGTAAATAGAGAGGTGACATCGAAGCTGACGAGTGTGTCGGATGGCTGGATCTTGGTTTTGGAGAGGATGTCGATGAAGTGCTTAGAGTTCGTGACGTGGTGCTGCGTTTGGCCTACGAGTGGTTGTAGAATATTGGCGAGATGACGTGCAGTGTTGTAGCAGGATGATCCTCGGGTAGAGATGATAGGGCGGAGAGGGATAAGCGGCTTATGAATCTTGGGCTGTCCGAAGAGGATGGGTGACTTAGCTGACGAGGATCTGAGTTGAAAGTAGAGTGCCTTGGGTAGTATGTCGGATCTGTGTAGGGTTAAAAGTTGTTGGTTGATCTTCCTTTCGTTGGCCGGGGTTGGGTCCCTCTTGAGTTTGGAGTAGGTTTCCTTATCTTTGAGTAGGTCGCAGATCTTATCTTCGTAAGCCCACCGCCACCGCCACCATCGTACTTCCCTACATCGGCAAGACATCACACCGACTACAACGCATCCTCCGCTCAGCCAACATCCTCGTCAGACACCAATCCAACCACAAGCTTTACTCCACTCTTCACTCTCACAAGGACAAGCACCCATCCAACAAACAACCAGGCGTCTACAAGATTCCCTGCGATTGCGGCAAAGTCTACATTGGAGAAACCGGCCGCGATTTCGACACCCGACTAAAAGAACACAAGACCCACCACCGACGCAGCGACTGGGACAAGTCAGCCATCGTCAAGCACGCACAACAAGAGCTCCACCACATTCACTGGGATAAAAGTCACCTCATCACCCCCATCCGACATTGGCACACCCGAAGAGTCCGAGAAGCCATCGAGATCCACCAACACAACACCGTACCCCAAGACCCAGGCCTTCACATCAACAGTATCTGGCACCCAATCCTCCCTCACCATCCTACTTCCGACCAATCTTCAACCAACTCCACAACCAACACGCCAACCACCAACACTTCACCAATCCATCCATCCGTTAGCCCGGACACCACCTACAACCACCCAACCACACCCACTCAATCAAGCACTACACGTTCTCAACTAGCCACTTCACCCACACAAGCACCGCCCACGCCCACACCTCGCTACAACCTACGCCAACGCCGAAACCGCCGACCAACACACACAGACCGACACCACTAATAGCCATCCTCACCGCCGATCGATACACCCACTCAACGACCGACACAACCCCCCCGCTACCCCGCCGACACCCACCACACGACGTCCGCATAACCGCCGCCCACTCGTTTCCCGCCAATTCACACAACCGCGCGCCACCACCGACAGCTGCCTGCCAACCTGCCGAGCCCGCCGGCCCAGTGCTTTCCCCCAAGTCCGCATCCACGCCATAAGAACCGCCGCACGCCTAGCGAACACTCACTCCTGAAGACGGACAGTCAACCTGTCCGAAACGTCGAGTCTACTCTCCTACTCCTGCTCTGCAACTCTACTCGTCTACTCAACTCTCCAACTCAATCCAGTCTTCTACTCAAACCTCTCATCCCTCCTACAACTTTCTGGTTTACAGTCCTTTTCAGGACTATACTCACTTCCGAAAGATACTCTTCCTTCCAACCTCCACTTTCTCGCCTTTCCATCTCACTTCTATTTTCTATCCACTTTCCTCAGTCCCTCGAGGACTTTACACATGGTGTACCGTAAACCTCTTCCGTGATTATTCATACCACCATGCAAACCTTCAAACATCATCTGATTCAGCTCTACGGGGAGCCTACTCAACTCAGCGTCAGACAACTCCAGCGCGACCTAGTTAAGACAGCCAAGCTCACCAACCACCTAACCTTCCTCAAACGCTGCCGCGACTCCGACACCATCCCTCTAGGCCTTCAACTCAAATCCGCCGTTGACACCCCCAAAGCCCAGCGCATACTACACCAAGCCGGTATTGACCTTACCCGAGAACGCATCGTACACACACGCCACCAACTCCACGATCTCAACACCGCTACCTCTGCTTCTCAGTCCAAGATCAACCAACAACTCAATCCTGATGACCTCAGCAAAGTACAGTCCTTCAACGACCACACCGCCCAACTCGCCTTTCAGACCACCAAACTCAAGCAAATTAGGAAGTTCGACCAATTACGTTCACGCAAGCGCATCTGCACCAACGACCCTCCAACGACTCAACCCATTAAGGACACAGTAGTCAACCTCAGTCAACACAGACTCTCCCAAGCCGAACACAAGGTTCTATCCCTAGGACTCAACTTCGCCGTAGCCCCCAAGAAGATACCATTCTCCAACATCGTGCAACAAGTAGAACCCAAGCTCCGTTTCCTCTCCAAAGCTGCTGCTAACGACATCCGACTCAAAATTACCAACGCTCTCGCCGAAGCTAAGCCACCCAAACCCAACCTATCTAAAGAAGAACGATCCGCTATTCAAGACCTCCGCAAGAACCAATCCATCCACATCCTACAAGCAGACAAGGGAAACGCCACCGTCGTCATGGACCAAGATACATACGAAGATAAGATCTGCGACCTACTCAAAGATAAGGAAACCTACTCCAAACTCAAGAGGGACCCAACCCCGGCCAACGAAAGGAAGATCAACCAACAACTTTTAACCCTACACAGATCCGACATACTACCCAAGGCACTCTACTTTCAACTCAGATCCTCGTCAGCTAAGTCACCCATCCTCTTCGGACAGCCCAAGATTCATAAGCCGCTTATCCCTCTCCGCCCTATCATCTCTACCCGAGGATCATCCTGCTACAACACTGCACGTCATCTCGCCAATATTCTACAACCACTCGTAGGCCAAACGCAGCACCACGTCACGAACTCTAAGCACTTCATCGACATCCTCTCCAAAACCAAGATCCAGCCATCCGACACACTCGTCAGCTTCGATGTCACCTCTCTATTTACCAACGTTCCTGTAGACCAAGCATGCGACATCATCAAACAACGCCTCATCTCAGACCCAGACCTCGAATCTAGGACCAAGCTCACACCTGACCAGATCCACGACCTCCTTCTCACCTGCCTCCACTCCAACTCTTTCAAGTGGCGCAGCAACTTCTATAAACAACTTCAAGGAGCAGCCATGGGATCTCCACTCTCACCAATCATCGCCAACATCTTCATGGAACACTTCGAGCACCAAGCACTCAAGTCCGCCGACAAGTCTCCTTCACTATGGCTACGCTACGTCGACGACACCTTCGTCATCTGGCCACACAGCACACCAGACCTCCACCATTTCCTCGACCACATCAACAACCAACACCCCAGCATTAAGTTCACCATGGAGACCGAACACGACAACTCAATCCCTTTCCTAGACGTACTCATCACTAAGACACCATCAGGATTCCCCTCGCACCAAATATACCGGAAACCAACCCACACAGACCGCTACCTCAACTTCCGATCTCACCACCATCCATCAGTCCACCAATCAGTCTCCAACTCACTCATCAGACGAGCCCACCAACTTAGTGATAAAGCACATCTCCAGCAAGAACTCAAGCACATCACGCACGCACTTACTTCCATCAACCAGTACCCAAGAAGGAAAATCAACACCCGAGCTCCCTACCACAAGACCAGCACCACCGGAACCCAACCTGATACTAAGCCCACCGCCACCATCGTACTTCCCTACATCGGCAAGACATCACACCGACTACAACGCATCCTCCGCTCAGCCAACATCCTCGTCAGACACCAATCCAACCACAAGCTTTACTCCACTCTTCACTCTCACAAGGACAAGCACCCATCCAACAAACAACCAGGCGTCTACAAGATTCCCTGCGATTGCGGCAAAGTCTACATTGGAGAAACCGGCCGCGATTTCGACACCCGACTAAAAGAACACAAGACCCACCACCGACGCAGCGACTGGGACAAGTCAGCCATCGTCAAGCACGCACAACAAGAGCTCCACCACATTCACTGGGATAAAAGTCACCTCATCACCCCATCCGACATTGGCACACCCGAAGAGTCCGAGAAGCCATCGAGATCCACCAACACAACACCGTACCCCAAGACCCAGGCCTTCACATCAACAGTATCTGGCACCCAATCCTCCCTCACCATCCTACTTCCGACCAATCTTCAACCAACTCCACAACCAACACGCCAACCACCAACACTTCACCAATCCATCCATCCGTTAGCCCGGACACCACCTACAACCACCCAACCACACCCACTCAATCAAGCACTACACGTTCTCAACTAGCCACTTCACCCACACAAGCACCGCCCACGCCCACACCTCGCTACAACCTACGCCAACGCCGAAACCGCCGACCAACACACACAGACCGACACCACTAATAGCCATCCTCACCGCCGATCGATACACCCACTCAACGACCGACACAACCCCCCCGCTACCCCGCCGACACCCACCACACGACGTCCGCATAACCGCCGCCCACTCGTTTCCCGCCAATTCACACAACCGCGCGCCACCACCGACAGCTGCCTGCCAACCTGCCGAGCCCGCCGGCCCAGTGCTTTCCCCCAAGTCCGCATCCACGCCATAAGAACCGCCGCACGCCTAGCGAACACTCACTCCTGAAGACGGACAGTCAACCTGTCCGAAACGTCGAGTCTACTCTCCTACTCCTGCTCTGCAACTCTACTCGTCTACTCAACTCTCCAACTCAATCCAGTCTTCTACTCAAACCTCTCATCCCTCCTACAACTTTCTGGTTTACAGTCCTTTTCAGGACTATACTCACTTCCGAAAGATACTCTTCCTTCCAACCTCCACTTTCTCGCCTTTCCATCTCACTTCTATTTTCTATCCACTTTCCTCAGTCCCTCGAGGACTTTACACATGGTGTACCGTAAACCTCTTCCGTGATTATTCATACCACCATGCAAACCTTCAAACATCATCTGATTCAGCTCTACGGGGAGCCTACTCAACTCAGCGTCAGACAACTCCAGCGCGACCTAGTTAAGACAGCCAAGCTCACCAACCACCTAACCTTCCTCAAACGCTGCCGCGACTCCGACACCATCCCTCTAGGCCTTCAACTCAAATCCGCCGTTGACACCCCCAAAGCCCAGCGCATACTACACCAAGCCGGTATTGACCTTACCCGAGAACGCATCGTACACACACGCCACCAACTCCACGATCTCAACACCGCTACCTCTGCTTCTCAGTCCAAGATCAACCAACAACTCAATCCTGATGACCTCAGCAAAGTACAGTCCTTCAACGACCACACCGCCCAACTCGCCTTTCAGACCACCAAACTCAAGCAAATTAGGAAGTTCGACCAATTACGTTCACGCAAGCGCATCTGCACCAACGACCCTCCAACGACTCAACCCATTAAGGACACAGTAGTCAACCTCAGTCAACACAGACTCTCCCAAGCCGAACACAAGGTTCTATCCCTAGGACTCAACTTCGCCGTAGCCCCCAAGAAGATACCATTCTCCAACATCGTGCAACAAGTAGAAC